ATAAACCAGTGTCGAGAAAAACGCGTTCAAAGCTAGACTACGCAACACTCCGCACCGTCATTACGGGGCTGGGGTACTATTACAGTATTTAAGTTTAAGCCTGAACCTAAGCCTGAGCCTGAGCCTGAGCCCAGGCCAAAACCAAAGCCAAAGCCAAAGCCAAGCCTATTTTTTAGGGCTATTTTTTGATACCAAAGCGCGCATTGTAGCATACACGAGTGTCGAGAAAAACTCGTTCAAAGCTAGACTACGCAACACTCCGCACCGTCATTACGGAGCTGGGGTACTATTACAGTATTTACAGTAGGTTGTTAAGAAAGTTTGTAGGAAAAGTTTGGACAATAATTTCTCAAAAATCAAACCATAAACTCTTTCCAAATTCTTCCCAAATTCCCAAAATTTACTCTATTTCAACAAATTTTTGATAAAAGTTAGAGTGCGCCTTAGGATTTCTTCTTAAGATTGCTTCAGCTGATTGTAATTCACTTTTTGATTAATCTTTAGACAAGTTTTTAATGGGCTAATGAATAGGTAATGCGTTTGATTCAAAACCTAAACTCAAGTACTTAAAAATTTGCGATTAAGGCAAATTTTCTTTTTTCAAAACATGTGGTCTATAAAATTTCATGAAATCGATTCCAGAAACAATTCGAAAAATCCTTTTACACGTTAACACTAAAAATAATGAAATCTTGCTGTTTACTGCTTCTTGTTTTTGTTTTCCATTATGAATCAAAAGTTTTCAGATGTTAAAACTTGATCCCAACTCAAATGTTCTACAGAAAACTGGGGAAATCTTACGAGTAAATAAATACGGAAATCAGAGTGCTTGCTTGAATTCTTTATCAACAAAATACAATGATCTCATGGAGTTTTGTTTTTGTAAATAAACGATTTCCTTTTTTTCCTTTCAAATTTTATCTTGATTCTCATATGTCCAATGAAAAAAACGTTTTCAAATCGGAATTGCTCAGAATTTCTGATGGCTAGAAGTGTGATGTCATAGTGAATCATTTGTGCTCTAAAATTTTACATATTTTTTCACGAGAACACCACTCGATAGGGAGGATATCATAAAATTATGGGTGCCACCATGGTCACCATCATGAGATCATTAATATTGGATTGGTGAATTGAAAACTGCGGGCTATTGTCATATGTGACAGTTTGAGCACTTTCTTCAAAAGAAACCCATTTTGGTGTTAATGGAAAAGTTGTAGAGAATCAAAAATCAAGCTTATATCCAAATTTTCAGAACGATTCAAAAACTGGTTTTCAAGAAATGCCAAATTTACGAATTTTCAGAAAACTTGCATTTTAAGCGAAACTACTAAGTGTATCTTTTTGGAAATTTGGCTATAAGCCTCATTTTTGATTCTCTACAACTTTTCTATTGACGCCAAAATGGGTTTCTTTTGAAGAAAGTGCTCAAATGCTCAAACTGGGACATCTCGACATCCCCAGTCCTCCATTTTTGAGTCTCACACTTGTCTCACACACAAACCAAAATCCTACTACGAAAGAGGAATCCGCAAATTGCCTGTAAAATGGGCAGAAGTCGTCCAATAATAATGGAAATTATTTGGAATGAATTAATGGTTTTATGTTGAATAAATTTTAGTCCAAAGTCTCGCAGTTTTCAATTCACCAACCCAATATTTTGATGTATTAGGTACATGCATAAGAAATGCGGATTTCAACATTTTCATAAATTTCCAACGATAGAAACCTGATATCGATGAATGTTATAAACTATTTATGCTCTGCGTTTTCTGGGATATGGAGGGAGTGGTGTACTGGGGGTTGCTGGATAGCAAGACGACCGTTAATGCAATCAAATACAGTCAAATACAGTTTGGGAAAGGTGAATGAATCCCTGAAGAAGTATAGGCCCTCCAAGTCAAAGATCGTTCTCATCCACGACAACGCGCGCCCTCATGTTGCAAAACTGACTCGCTCTAAAATAAATAGCCTTGTTTGGGCACTTTTGGCGCATTCCCCATACAGTCCGGACCTCGCCCCCTCCTTTTATTACTATTTATTCCGGAGCATGAGTAATGAGCTTGCGGGAGAACACTTCGATTCGGAAGAAGCAGTCAAAAATTGGCTTTGAAAGTTTTTCGATTCAAAACCAAAATCCTACTACGAAAGAGGAATCCGCAAATTGCCTGTAAAATGGGCAGAAGTCGCCAATAATAATGGAAATTATTTGGAATGAATTAATGGTTTTATGTTGAATAAATTTTAGTTCAAAGTCTCGCAGTTTTCAATTCATCAATCCAATAGAATCAAATTTTTACCATAAAGTGGAAATTCTAATGGCATTTGGGGGTCACATTAATTAGAGCTAATATGTAAACTAAGATCACTAGCCAAATAGTTTCTTGATTAGAAGCTCCTTGGAAAAACTAGACCTCTCTTTGAAGACGGTGAGTTGCAAGGGGCTTATGTAGGAGAGATTAGTGCATGTTCGAAACTAATAATCTGTTTGGTTAATAATCTTAGTTTACTCATTAGCTCTAATATGTCATCACAATGCTAGTAGAAAGTCTCCGCTTTATGGCAAAAATTTTACCCTTTTGATGGTCTCATGGTGGTGACTAGAGTGTGTTCCTCGGGAGTAATGCATTTTTTAAAACGCACACTTCAGAAAAAATACCGTACTTTTAGCGAAAATTATGGGGTAGGCTAATTACCGTGATTTTATTTGCGCAACTGGTAGTTTGCGCAACTCACCATAGCTTTGTTCTAAGTGGACCAATCTTTATGATTTTGGTGTCATTTTGTTGCACTTATTGAGATCTACAAAATGAAATCAAAATCTTAAAGATTGGTCCACTTAGAGGAAAGTTATGGCGAGTTGCGCAAATGACCCTGTTGTGCAAAAATGCGGAAATTAGCCTACCTCAAAATTATTGCAAAAATCACAAGCTCCAACTCTATTTGAAGATATTCAGCCGTTTAACTGATTTGGTGGCGAATCCCCTCAGCTTGTAGTTGCTGCTGTTGCTCGTAGTTGCTGATGTTGCTCGTAGTTGCTGTTGTTGCTCGTAGTTGCTGCTGTTGCTCGTAGTTTATTTGCGCAACTCACCATTGAGTCTAAAGTGTGCTCTAGGATGCGTTTTTTAAAACGCAAACTTGGGAAAAATTATCGTACTTTTATCGTAGCGAAAGTTATTGCAAAAAAAAGCCACGAGCGCCGACTTATATACGATTCCTTTTTAAGATATTCAGCTGTTTGACTGATTTGGTGGCAAATTCCCTTCAAGTGTAAAGATATTCAATTTACTCAACGTGTAAAGAGGATTACTCGTAGTTACTCGGCCTAAAAACGTCGATTAATCAAGTAAAAATTACTCAGGCAATTTTATTCAAGTAATTACTTACTCGCACTGAGGAACACACTCTAGTGATGACCATGGTGGCACCTATAAACTCATGATATCCCCCTATCGAGTGGTGTTTTGGTGAAAAAATATGAAAAATTTTAGAGCACAAGTGATTCACTATGAAATCACGCTTCTAGCCATCAGGAATTTTGAGGAATTCCGATTTGAAAACGTTCTTTTTATTGGACACCCTGTATATGAATTTTCGGTACTTGTCGGTTATACATCCACAAAGACTCATCTTGGTTAAGTCTTTTCCCATGCGAGTCTTCTCGAATATCGATTTTCGTTCGACTGATCGACTGATCACTTCAGGCGAGCACTCTACTTCAATTGAGATAATGACCCCTCAAAAGTTGTCAGCTCCTTGCTTAGCCGAGTTGAGTCTCTGTGGATGTATAACCGACAAGTGCCGAATTTTCTTTTATAGAAAAAAAAACATTTATTCACACAAATAATGTGATGAAAACAATACACAAGCACAATTTCTAAGCCCTAAATGTAGAGAAGAAAAACCCATCCATATATATTTTACGTTCGATTAAGAATTTATCGAATCAATTGAGTAAAAATGTGATGCGAAATGCGAAATGATGTAAATCTAATTTTTTCTCAGGCATGTACTAGTGTTTTCTTTATTGGGGTTATATTGGATCATCGGCAGGTGAACGACCCACGCAGTAGTCGTGTTTGTTGAAAGGTGCTAAAGATATCTTCAAAAGATCTTAAAATTAAGAAAACAATAAAAACTTATTGCAATTAGTTAACAAAAACTGTAAAAAAGACGTTAATATCAGCGTTTTCGCATTCTACACTCCAAAGATGGGCAATCGGGCCGGACCAGGGCAGGTCGGACCAGGGCGGGCCGGACCAGGGGGAGTCGGACCAGGGCAGGTCGGACCAGGGCGGGCCGGACCAGGAGGAGTCGGACCAGGGCGGGCCGGACCAGGGGGAGTCGGACTAGGGCAGGTCGGACCAGGGCGGGCCGGACCAGGGCGGGCCGGACCAGGGGGAGTCGGACCAGGGCAGGTCGAACCAGGGCAGGTCGAACCAGGGCAGGTCGAACCAGGGCAGGTCGGACCAGGGCAGGTCGGACCAGGGCAGGTCGAACCAGGGCAGGTCGGACCAGGGCGTACCGGACCATGGGGAGCCGGACCAGGGCAGGTCGGGCGGAAATTTGAGTTGATCACTCAAGACTTTTTGGAGTCAAAAAGTTTAAAATCAAAATTTTAAGATGAACATTTATTTTTACCACTTTTAAAGTAGATATGTCCATTTTCGAGTTTTAGATTCGAGGATCGAGTCACTGGGTCGGGTCGAAATATAAATGCAAATTTACCAAATGTTTTTTAAGAAATGTTATTGTTATTCGAACGCAACAATTAAATAGGCAAACAAAAATAACAACAACAAATTACTTATCAATAACTACTCGAATAACTACAATCTGATCCGTAAGAAACAAACTCACTAGTGCTATTAGAAAAATTACTACTTGAATACGGTTCTTTTTCGATGTGTAACTCATCGTCTGTAGCAGCTATCTTCAGGGCCGAGCGATATCCATAATGAGTCTCCAGTAAAGTTGGCCAAAATCCAATCTTAATATTAGCATTTGTTTCCGAATACAAAAGAGATTAACTTCATGTACTTTTGATTAAGGCTAACTCTAAGGGCCGACTTCAATGTTGTAGGGGCCATCCGCTGTCGTCGACTGTTTTTCCAAATCAAACCACACGTACTAAAATAAAACTATTACTACACATACAAAAAGTTGTACCTGAAAACACGCTCCGAAGAAACGGAACTAGCTGGTGGCGACATATATATATTGAACCGCAATCGGATATAAACTAAAATAGTAACAGGAAACTAGAAAATAGAGTGAACGAACTTTTTAAGACGAGCTTGGTTTTGGAACCACCACAGGTACAAGTTTTCGGTAGTAGACGAACGGGCTTCCTTTGTACAAAAGCGTACGTAGTCGTCAGTCTCGAGCTATAACACCTTAATATGCACTAGACTGTTTTTGCGTGTTTTTTTGGAGGCAGGTTCGACGAGAAGCCATTCCAGTGGATTGATTTCATGGCTTTCCGGATCCTTGCGCATGTCGGGCTCAATTTGATCATCCAAACAAAGGGAATCTAAGAATAAAACGTAAAAAATTATTTTTTGAGAAAGGCTACCGTTTTTGAAGAGGATCCGCTCTTTGATGTTATTCCAGACAAGCTCTTTATATAAAGAACCTCTGCAACTCCAGCGTGGGTCCAGAAAAATTGCTTCTTGCAAAAACTCATCCTGATAAGCTTCTGCGGTGGCTTTGTTGAGCTTGTCTGTGAACTCTTTGGATAAATCGATAAGAGTTTCATCTCCTAGCATCATTCTAAAATAATAGATAAGAATTTGAGCGTTTAACAACAAACTTTTCACTTGTTGTTTTCAAATTTATCAATAAATAAATGATATCCAAAGGTGAAGAACTATCAGACCACATCTAAAAAAAAATAATAATAAAATAAATGAAAATGGCATTTACCTTTCTCGAATATTCGTCAAAAAGCCCAAGGATTCCGACAATTTTTTTTACCACACTAAGTTCTTCTTCGTCAAGCACATCTTTATTTACCTCTCGTAGGATTGCATTTATCGTACGTGTCTAAAATGCAAAGCTTTCAAGAAAATTTAAAAATACGTACTGCTCTCAAACAATTAATTAGTAAATAGTATAGTAAATTCCAGCGCGTTACACACACCGGTCGAGGCACCACAAAATGCATATCCTTTACATAAACTAAAAGAAAAAATTTGACTTTCAACTGAAACTATACATACAAACCCAATAAAATTGCGTCGCGAAATTCCCGATTTGCGTATGCGATGAACAGCTGATTTCATCCGATCAATAATACTAAGCAAAAAGCTTTGCTTCAGAAGTCTTCTCAGAACGAGTTTTAGCTTGTGGCCGAAGCAATTCACCGTAAAGCAAATGATGATCTCTGATAGCCTTTTTTACGTAAGATCCTCCGTCAGTGGTTGCCGTTTTCACCTTTTGTTCAATCTCGAAATCGACCATTGTTTTTTTAAGTTGGCAGCCATGTCTATGCTTTTCCTTTAGCCAATTTTTAGAAGCTAGGTATAAGTAAATTTATTACTTAGATAACAGCGGAAAAGCATCGATTAGTAAACTTTTCTTGAAGCCTTCTTTGCTGTCTACAATATGGGCGGTCACAACCTAAACAAAAATGAATTGAGTGAACAAATGTGAAAACAAAAAAACTGCGATGCGTATTCACAATTAGGACTGGAGCTTGTGTCCGTTGTTAATGCTACATTACCAGCATTTTTCAAGTAGTTTTTCGTCTAAATGAGAAACAATTAATGCGATGAATCATAATTTTTAGACCTCGGTTTTTATTTCTTGTGCTCGCTTGTCAATAATACGCGTTAGTTTCCCTCTTGATATTGGCTTGAATGGCCGCTTCTGAGCAAGTATCGCGCACATCTCATTAAAGCTTTTGCTTTCAACCTAATATTTTCTTTGGAATTGTAAGTCTATAAAAACATACAACGTTAAAAGGTATATTGTTACTGCAAAAAAATTCGACTATTTTAAAGTTAACCGCATTTTGTTAACCTCATTCAAGGGAAAACTTAAAAGAATAATTTGTGTTTGTGTTTGTGTTTGTGAAAGGAATATTTGTGTGTTTATGATATGAAGGCAATCAAATTCAAAAGAAAGCCTTGTTTTCTTGACAAAAAGTCTTTAAGTGACAAAGAATATTTAAACTTTTACTTTAACGATTCGGTTGGTTGATTACAATGGAAGGAATTGTGTGGACAATGGTTGAAAGTTTGGATCTGAATTTCAATTTTAAAGACTCTAGGTATTTTCCCTTTTTCCAATACCGAGCCACTATTTTCAGGCAATTCCTAGTATGTTGTCGATAGGATTCTGTGAATAAAATGATCGACAACGATCCGAAACCGCCGTGCAGAGAGAACAGAAAGGTCAACGCATTGATAAACCACTGTTGGGAAAACGAATCGGTGATCACCGTGAAAACAACAATCACTCCCGGAACTGCCATCGAGAACATCGGAGTGGAAACCTGAAATTGAGCAAATTAAAAAATGATTGCAAAGTGGCAAAAAAAGCCGATTTTTCACCATTTTTTATTCATTTTGTTCTAAGCGCTGGTTAATGCTAAAAATTTGTGTTATATCTCAAAAAAATCACCCATTCTCTCTACTTTAATTTGATACCTAAGTGCGCAGAAAGAAACGTACTGGTGTCGAGATATAAGCGTTTGTTTGAGAGTAAACTTAGACTACACGACGCTCCTATAGGAGGGTGCTTCTATTAAAGGGTGTCCAGCAATTATGGTGACGCGCATTTTACTACGTTTAACTGCTTTCTGTCTTTCTTTTCTTCTTATTAATTCAATGATTTGATTGTTTTTTAGGTATAAAGTCTAAGAAAGAGCTGCCTCTAGCCATTATTACTCTTCATCAGCAAGGAAAAGACTCCGCAGAGAGATCTCGAATCTTCCAGGCAAAGAGAAAGAATGTTTTTTGCTCTCTGAAGCTGACCGTGCTGGTGCTGGCCAACACCGGAAGATTCTCTTCATGGATGTAGAGTGGTTTGATATTGAGCAACTATCAGAACGACCGAACTTGGTTCAAAGAACCTCTTCCGTTAGACGATAAAATTGTTTCAAGACAACAAAATCCTCAACAAATCATGATTTGGGCCGGAAAGAGAAGACAACATAGTGGAAAAAACGCCCTTGATCTTCATTCCCGCTGGAGTCAAGATTGACAAGAAAGTTTACTTCGATATGCTTGAAAAAGAAGTTTTGCTTTGATCTCAAGCTTTGGTGCCAATAATGCCTGGATTTTTCAACAAGACAGTGCTCCATATCACAAGGCTATTGATACATAAGATTGAATCTCCAACAACTTGCATCACCTCCCAGATTTCAGATTGTATCACCGTGGACATCAGTCAACAACGCCCAGAGGAATGGCCATCAAACTCGCTCGATCTCAATCCCTTAGATCACTTAATATGGTCTTCTTGGAAGCAAAGCATGTGCTAAAGCCCACAAATGAATTGACAATTGACTTTAAACGAGAATTAATCAAGGCATGGAAGGCAAGGCTCAGTGAAAAGAGCGATTAATGATTTCCTCAAGCGCTTAAGAAAATTTATTAATGCTAATGGTGGCCATTTTCAATCCTTTCAATTCATTTCAATTCTAGATCTTTTTTTAATCTTTTTACAGTTGTTTTGAGTAAAAAAAAGTTGTTATTACTATTTTTTTTGCCAAAATAGGTTCGGCAGACTTTTTTCACCATAATTGTGGGACACTCTGTAGAGTATTTACGGTATATGCTCACACCTGCAACGCCAGCCCTCGGACGAGCTTTTTGTGGAGTGCTCTCGTTTTTGGACTCATCGGAATGATGGGACTGTTGAGCAGGTGAAACGCATGCAGTGTCAAAGCTGTGCCCTGAAAATTCAAGTTTATTGATACCCAAGAGAAAGGTTTTCTAACCAAAAGAATAATTCCCGGAATGCCGATGACAAGCAGCAAAATCAAAAGGGTTTTTGGATAAAGGGAAAATATCGGCAACGGTGTTTTCAAATCGGCAATCCAAGCGTCGGCGATTTTTTCCACAAAAGCATATTGGGGATAGTCCTTTCAGAATTTTAGCATTTATTAAAGAAAATCCACAAACCTCCAACAATTTGTTGAGTCCAGCGGCGATTGGCGGATGCTCGAAATGAAATCCCCAAATTCCAACCCAAATAAGAAATAAATACGAGAAATAGAGAACAGCAAAAAAAATCGCAATTGTTCGCACTTTTAACCTAGAAAAAAAAACGGGGTTCTCGGTTAACTTCTTTTCTTACGAAAACCAATGATCGCTTGGCAGAATGGCTCGATAGCGGTAAAAGAAACAAAGAGCAATCGACAGAATCATTGAGATGAGTAGAAAACCGAAGATATTCTAGAAATGATTGAAATAATCGAAATGCAATTTCAAATTTATTTGGTTGGTGAATTGAAAACTGCTGGCTATTGTCATATGTGATAGTTTGAGCACTTTCTTCAAAAGAAACCCATTCTGGTGTCAATGGAAAAGTTGTAGAGAATCAAAAATGAAGCTTATATCCAAATTTCCAGAACGATTCAAAAACTGGTTTCCAAGAAATGCCAAATTTACGAATTTTCACAAAACTTGCAACAAAACTTTCATTTTAAGCGAAACTACCAAGTGTATCCTTTTGGAAATTTGGATATAAGCTTGATTTTTGATTCTCTACAACTTTTCCATTGACACCAAAATGGGTTTCTTTTGAAGAAAGTGCTCAAACTATCACATATGACAATAGCCAGCAGTTTTCAAATCACCAATCCAATAGAATTTTTGACTCATATGAGCCTTATCTAATTTTTTAGGCGCTCGATTTTAGGGGTTGAAAAATGGACGGACCTTCTATTAAAATAATTCCGGTAATTTAATTTTTGAAGATTTGCTTGAAGACTTGAAGAAGATGAGCATATTTTCCAAATTTCTACCACTGTAAGTGCTTTTCAAACTTTGCTAACACTTACACAATGAACTGTACAACTCATCTCGCAGTAAGTGTAGAAAAAACCGTGAGCAATGCCACTGATGGTCGGCAGAAAAATTTCTGGTTCGGCCAGATGCAAGAAGACTTCTAATAAAGCAGAAAAAATCTTAAAAAAACATAAGGTTTTGTTTTTTTTAAGATTTTACTTGATAAAATAGCAGGAAAATGCGATAGGTTTTCATTGATTTCGGCGATTTGCAAAGGATTAAATGAATTGTATACAAATTGATGATTGTATTCAAAGAGCCGATGATTCTCGATGATTTCAAGTAAACCGTCGGATATTCGTAGGTAATTTGATTCATTGGGGGAGCTGAATTGTAGAATCTCATCACTTTTAGCTTTTGATTGTTTGGAAATTTGGTGAAAAGCAGGTGGTATTGCATCGATCACTTCTCAGAGGTGTTTCTTACTTTCTTTTCTTACTTTTTTGTCTCCCATTCTCTTCTCATTCCATTGAATTCATTCATTTCGAAATCCACCCACGAAATTCATTTCGAAAGCGCTCTCGATTCTTTTCGGGAACACTACATTCAACAAATAGTGACTGCGAAGAGATTTCATCGTTCTCAACAACAATTCAGCTTCTCATCCTTCTCACAGCCACCCAATCAAGAGTCAAAACTTTCAAAATATCGGGAAACCTTTTGAAATAGATCTTTTTCATTTCGCAATAGAAACAAGGTTTCGATTATATTGGGTTGTCCAGTTATGAATGCGCGTTTTTTACTATTTTGTAAATTTCTCAAGAAACCGATCAAGATCAAGATACCGATCAAGATCAAGATCAAGAAAAAGATATTTATATTATTCGAAAGCTGAAGATCTCCTCTACATTTTGATATAAAAAGTTTTTGAATTTGTTCAGCTTTTGGGTAAATTGACTGCACAGAATAGATATATCAATACAAGTTTTTTTTTTAAATATAACAATTTCAGAGCATCTTTACTTTTCTTTTCTTTTCTGGGCGGTTATTTTACACCATAAAACTTGAGGAATAGCTAAGCTGGAATGGGTTTTTTTTTGAAAACGACCTCTCCCTTTGTGCATTGAATTTCCCAAAAAGTTGAATGAATTCAGAAACTTTTTTATTCCAAAATGTAGAGGAGATCTTCAGCTTTCGAATGATATAGGGCCCTCATGGTGTATTGGTTAAGTTCTCACTTCCAAACTGAGGGTGTGGGGTTCGGCCCCCCTAGGGTTCTCTTCCCTAGCCCGTGCGCCCAGACTAGAGGTGTCTTCTCTAGAGCTGACTAGAGATCCCTTCTCTAGCGGAGTTCACTCATCCACTGGGTTGGCCCATTCATGGTCTGAGGTTATTAAAGCAAGAAGCCTATCTTCTATCTATCTTCTTTTCTCCCCGCCTCCACATCGCCGAGTAAAATATCTCATCTTTCTCTATGTATTTATGTGTAGATTTGTGTATTGTCTGTCTGATTACGCTTTATTTCATGTCCTGAATAAAGTATCAATCAATATATAACACTCATATACATTTGTTCGAAATCTTGAGAAATTTACAAAATAGTAAAAACGAGCATTCATAACTGAACAACCCAATATAATCGAAATCTTGTTTCTATTGCAAAATGAAAAAGATCTATTTCAAAAGGTTTCCCGATATTTTGAAAGTTTTGACTCTTGATTGGGTGGCTGTGAGAAGGGTGAGAAGCTGTGAGAAGGATGAGAAGCTGAATTGTTGTCGAGAACAACGAAATCTCTTCGCAGTCACTATTTGTTAAATGTAGTCTTCCCGAAAAGAATCGAGAGCGTTTCAGTGGATTCAATGGAATGAGGAGAGAATGGGAGACAAGAAAGTGAGACAAGAAAGTAAGAAACACCTCTGGGAAGTGATCGATGCAATATGCGGATGCCCGGAAATACCCTCATTCGCAAACGGCTGAATTTCGTAAACGGCTACGACATATATAACAGATATGGGTTCTGTCGAGTGCTTCTGTAGATCTGGCGTATCAAAGTTGGTGAACTCCATGGTCAGCACCGTCCGCTGATCGAAAAGGTTTGATTTAAGCAGCTAAATTCAAAAGAAAAAAAAAACAAAAAAAAAATTTAAACAAAAACAAATACGTACTCGTTGTGGGTGGGGTCACTCCGAATGTATAATCGAAATCTTGTTTCTATTGCAAAATGAAAAAGATGCACATCTAAAATCTAAAAAATATCCATTCAAAAAGATATTCTCCGTTGTTGGCAATAGTTTTTCTCCCTTTTTCTTTCAAATCTCGGATTTGCTGAAGAAATTCTGAGGTTGCGAGTCGAATCCTACCCAAATGCGGACTTCGTCGTGGTCCTTGAAGTCTTTATCGGTCAGGAAGTGTTGCATAGATCAAAATAAGTGATAAAAAAAGGTTTCCCGATATTTTTAAAGTTTTGACTCTTGATTAGGTGGCTGTGAGAAGGGTGAGAAGCAGAATTGTTGTTGAGAACAACGAAATCTCTTCGCAGTCACTATTTGTTGAATGTAGTGTTCCCGAAAAGAATCGAGAGCGCTTTCGAAATGGATTTCGTGGGTGGATTTCGAAATTAATGAATTCAATGGAATGAGAAGAGAATGGGTGAAAGTAAGAAACACCTCTGAGAAGTGATCGATGCAATACCACCTGCTTTTCATCAAATTTCCAAACAATCAAAAGCTAAAAGTGATGAGATTCTACAATTCAGCTCCCCCAATGAATCAAATTACCTACGAATATCCGACGGTTTACTTGAAATCATCGAGAATCATCGGCTCTTTGAATACAATCATCAATTTGTATACAATTCATTTAATCCTTTGCAAATCGCCGAAATCAATGGAAACCTATAGCATTTTTCCGCTATTTTATCAAGTAAAATCTTAAAAAGACAAAACTTTATCATTCTTAAGATTTTTTCTATTGTAGACGGAAAAGACGGCCTCAAGAAAAGTTTACTAATCGATGCTTTTCCGCTGTTATCTAAGTAATAAATTTGCTTATACCTAGCTTCTAAAAATTGGCTAAAGGAAAAGCATAGACATGGCTGCCAACTTAAAAAAACAATGGTCGATTTCGATTGAACAAAAGGTGAAAATGGCAACCACTGACGGAGGATCTTACGTAAAAAAGGCTATCAGAGATCATCTAAAATTCTGGTAAGATTTTCATTACTTTCTTTAATTTGTTTGATTTTTTGCTTTACGGTGAATTGCTTCGGCCACAAGCTAAAACTCGTTCTGAGAAGACTTCTGAAGCAAAGCTTTTTGCTTAGTATTATTGATCGGATGAAATCAGCTGTTCATCGCATACGCAAATCGGGAATTTCGCGACGCAATTTTATTGGGTTTGTATGTATAGTTTCAGTTGAAAGTCAAATTTTTTCTTTTAGTTTATGTAAAGGATATGCATTTTGTGGTGCCTCGACCGGTGTGTGTAACGCGCTGGAATTTACTATACTATTTACTAATTAATTGTTTGAGAGCAGTACGTATTTTTAAATTTTCTTGAAAGCTTTGCATTTTAGACACGTACGATAAATGCAATCCTACGAGAGGTAAATAAAGATGTGCTTGACGAAGAAGAACTTAGTGTGGTAAAAAAAATTGTCGGAATCCTTGGGCTTTTTGACGAATATTCGAGAAAGGTAAATGCCATTTTCATTTATTTTATTATTATTTTTTTTTAGATGTGGTCTGATAGTTCTTCACCTTTGGATATCATTTATTTATTGAAAACTTTGAAAATAACAAGTGAAAAGTTTGTTGTTAAACGCTCAGATTCTTATCTATTATTTTAGAATGATGCTAGGAGATGAAACTCTTATCGATTCATGCAAAGAGTTCACAGACAAGCTCAACAAAACCACCGCAGAAGCTTATCAGGATGAGTTTTTGCAAGAAGCAATTTTTCTGGACCCACGCTGGAGTTGCAGAGGTTCTTTATATAAAGAGCTTGTCTGGAATAACATCAAAGAGCGGATCCTCTTCAAAAACGGTAGCCTTTCTCAAAAAATAATTTGTTACGTTTTATTCTTAGATTCCCTTTGTTTGGATGATCAAATTGAGCCCGACATGCGCAAGGATCCGGAAAGCCATGAAATCAATCCACTGGAATGGCTTCTCGTCGAACCTGCCTCCAAAAAAACACGCGTTTCAAATTTTGCAGGTGGGTAAAAACCTAAGTCTAGTGCATATTAAGGTGTTATAGCTCGAGACTGACGACTACGTACGCTTTTGTACAAAGGAAGCCCGTTCGTCTACTACCGAAAACTTGTACCTGTGGTGGTTCCAAAACCAAGATCGTCTTAAAAAGTTCGTTCACTCTATTTTCTAGTTTCCTGTTACTATTTTAGTTTATATCCGATTGCGGTTCAATATATATATGTCGCCACCAGCTAGTTCCGTTTCTTCGGAGCGTGTTTTCAGGTACAACTTTTTGTATGTGTAGTAATAGTTTTATTTTAGTACGTGTGGTTTGATTTGGAAAAACAGTCGACGGCAGCGGATGGCCCCTACAACATTGAAGTCGGCCCTTAGAGTTAGCCTTAATCAAAAGTACATGAAGTTAATCTCTTTTGTATTCGGAAACAAATGCTAATATTAAGATTGGATTTTGGCCAACTTTACTGGAGACTCATTATGGATATCGCTCGGCCCTGAAGATAGCTGCTACAGACGATGAGTTACACATCGAAAAAGAACCGTATTCAAGTAGTAATTTTTCTAATAGCACTAGTGGGTTTGTTTCTTACGGATCAGATTCCGAAAGGCTTCGGAAAGAAGTGGTGGCCGTAGTCGGCTAGAATACAATGCGACCCTTCTCAGGTTCGAGTTCACAGTGTGACTTTTTCTTGCTTCTTTAGGGGTAATTGATCTCCATTTCAAATAAAAGTCTTCTTCAAACTACTTCTGATAAAAATCTTTACTTTTAACTATTAAACAGTAATCATTGAAATCTAAAGAATGAAAAAAAAGAAATCCAGAGGGATTTTGGAAGCCCCGCTCACTTCTCAACTTTTCAAATGAAGCATTTTGACTGTTTTCTCTTCATAAACGCAATGATCGATGCGTGAAAACGAACACGATAAGCGTCAAAACAACCGGTTAGACAGTTGGTAGTCGTAGTCGTAGCCGAGTGGTAGCCAGCTAGACAGTCGTCAGCCAGCTAGACAGTCGTCAGCCAGCTAGACAGTCGGTAGACGTAGTCGTAGCCGAATCGTAGTCGGCTACAAGGCAAGCCCTCCTCAAGTTCGAGTTCGCAGTTTGTCTTTTTCTTGCTTTTTTAGGGGTAATTGATCTCCATTTCAAATAAAAGTTATAATTTTTTACAATGTTATATTTTTCAAATATAACATTTTCGCAAAAAAAACGACTCTCGTAAAACGTTTTTAGTATCGTCGTGTAGTGATTGTGGAATTTGTGGCTCGGCTCCTCGTTTTTTGAGTCGTTAATGCTGTCGACTGGATGGTGAAACTTGTCTCCGAATTGTTGGAGAGAGCGGCTTTTGTGTGCTGAGCCTTTGAAGTTCGTTTCCTTAGGAAAAACACCAGAATTAGCCTAAAAAAAGCTCATTTCATCATTATTTTTATGTTTTTATATGGATTATTGCAAAAAAAGCAAAAAAAGCTTTAAGTTTGAGCTTTTTAAAGCTGAAAAAGATCGTTACCCTTGGCCCAGAGTTGTCAGAATGAGATTCAAAGAGACGAGAAACCCGTAAAAAGCATTCGCTAGCCAAAAGCCGAAAACAAATAATGCCAGAATGTTGAGTGCAGACGACACGAGATAGCTGTAGAAATAAACGGCTGAGCTGGACAGCATCTGAATTCGCGTTTTCAAATTGAGAAACTCAAGTTGTCGGCTTGAAAGCTTTTGAAAGCTGTTGTTAGCTTTTGTTGTTCTAATTCTAAAATTGCAAAAAGGAAACTCAAATCTCCAACCTGTAGCATCAGCAGCTTTTCGATGGACGTGCTTTTGCTTTTTGAGTGCTAAAATTTACTTGCTGCATTTGAATCGGATCGTGGGACTTTTTATAAGCGCTCCGCTCCTTTGCCATTGCCAATCCAACTTTGCGCTCAAATATCTTCGTGCTGATGTGTCCAATTTTAATATTCTTGATATCATTAGATGCGCCAAGTCTTTCTCTATCGATTAGTAGAAAAACTATTGGAATTGGACAGTCCAACACCAAGAAATTTGAGCTTAAAGTTAGATTGTCGATGGGGAAAGGGGCGGGACGACCGGCCTTTTATACACGCCCCGCTCCTTTGCCATTACCAATCCAACTTTGCGCTCAAATCTCTTGATGTTGGACTGTTTTTGTACCAATCGATAGAGAAAGACTTTGCGCATCTAATGATACCAAAAATATATAAATTGAACAGCTCAACCCCAAGAAATTAGAGCTCAAAGCTATGGCTATGAGAGAGGGGCGGGGCGCGTATAAAAGGTCGCCTCGCACCCTTTTGCCATTGGCAATCAGCTCAAATCTCTTGATGTTGGGCTTTTCAATTTAAATAGTTTTTGTACCAATCGATAGAGAAAGACTTGGCGCATCTAATGATACCAAAAATATATATGTCGTAGCCGATTATGAATTTCAGCCGATTATGAATGAGTGGGTCTAGGAGCGTCCAACCATCAAGTATTTGGTATCATTCAACGCAGAATCATTAATAATTATGTTAAATTTTTTAAATTAGAAAGATTGGATAAAAAGAAAAAAAATTATGGGGCTTCAAAGTCTTCTTTTGAACAAATAGTTTTTTGCGCTAATTTTTTTTCTTTTCATCAAATCTTGCTAATTTTAAAAATTTAACATAATTATCAATGATTCTGCGTTGAATGATACTAAATACTTGATGGTTGGACGCTTCTACTACCCACTCATTCATAATCGGCTACGGGGGTCCTGCCGATTTTGCATGAAACGTTGTAGCGCCGGCAATTTTTAACCTAAACTCACAAATTTGGTACCAATCGACGCAGAATTTAATTCGCTACAAAATGATATAATATTGTCCTCATACATTAAAGGGTTGCTCTACTAGAAAAATTTGCCAAAAATTTCATTCATAATCGGCTACGACATATAAATTGGACAGCTCAACACTAAGAAATTTGAGCTCAAAGTTGGATTGCCAATAGCAAAAGGGGCGGGGCTCGTATCAAATGCCCGATAGCCTTGGAGAAATGCCGGATAATCGTTGAATGATTTAATGACAATGACAATGATTACCGCTGTAAACATCCACCGCGTCATCACATCCAAACTGATCATCACCGAGATAACGAAGATCATAAGATTAGAAGAGATTTTCGTTGTCCAGTCTTGATTAAAAACAGTTATGCGAATTAAAATCCCGAAAGCATAGCAAAAAGCGATTTGAAAAAACGGCCATCGAGCAGCATATTTTGCGTAGATTCCTTGTGAAAAAACGCACAAAAAACGACTAAAAATAGGCGATGAAGTTTCAAAAACCTAATCGAAATCGAAAACCTTATCGAAATCGCAAATTGACAAAGAACATTGACGTTGACTAAATCGTCAGCCTGCTGAATCAGAAAAGCAACGATGGGAGCATTCGAGTCGCAAGTTAGGAAAGAAATTCTGTAAAAGGAATTGTAAAAGAAGGATTTTGTTCGAAAGGTTGTAAAAGAAAGTTCGAAAACGATCAGAAACAGCTTACAGCGTCGGAAACGACGAACAATACAAAGTGATCGTTTGCAGAAGAGCGTAAAGAAATCGGCTAACATTTTCGCCGACAGCAATCACTCTAAAAGCTCTCAAAAGCTTTATTTCTCCAATTTTTATCTACCGAATTGCCACGTTTAGCTGTGTGTTTGAAGCCACACAAAAAATTGCATAAAAGTTGCATAGAACAGAGAGAAGCAACAGCTAAAACGCAAATTTTATAGCAATTTGACCCAAATTTTGACATTTTTCTCAATTTTTCCGCAGAAAAATTGAATTCTCACCACAGCCAACGCTAAAATGTTCCAATTTGCAAATTGTGTCGCACTGGCGGAAGAGATTTCCAATATATAAGTCGTGTTCGGATTTGTGAGATATTGAAGGAAATGGCGGCGATTGAGATTCGCGAAAAGATTCTTCATGAAGTAGATTGGCGCTAGAGTTTGTTTCATTGCCACAAAAAGCTTTGGACTTTCAAAAGAAGAAGAATTTTGTTTTTTCTTAAACAAAAAGATCTCAGTACTTATTGGTTATCTTCCACGTTCCAAAAAAAAGAAACCAATCGCTCGATGGACTGAAATTTTCCCAATCCACCTTCCCATCAATGCTCCGCTGTCTGGTAGAGTTAAATGCTATTTTCTCGCGTATACTAATTTCATTTCGCTTTGCTTGCTTACATTGTTTTGTTTATTTTATTTTAATCACACGCAAAATAATGTAGAAAAAAAGAAAAGCTAGTACAGAAGTCGAAAAAGCGAAAAAAAGGTACTACTATTGGGTTGGTGAATTGAAAACTGCGGGCTATTGTCATATGTGACAGTTTGAGCACTTTCTTCAAAAGAAACCCATTTTGGTGCCAATGGAAAAGTTGTAGAGAATCAAAAATTAAGCTTATATCCAAATTTTCAGAACGATTCAAAAACTGGTTTTCAATGAATCCCAAATTTGCGAATTTTCACAAAACTTGCAACAAAACTTGGATTTTAAGCGAAACTACTAAGTGTATCTTTTTGGAAATTTGGCTATAAGGCTCATTTTTGATTCTCTACAACTTTTCTATTGACACCAAAATGGGTTTCTTTTGAAGAAAGTGCTCAAATGCTCAAACTGGGACATCTCGACATCTCCAGTCCTCCATTTTTGAGTCTCACACTTGTGACGGTATCTGTCTGTCTTTTTGTCTGTCTTTCTGTCTGTCTTTCTGTCTGCCTCTGTACGGGCATTTTAATTCGCATAACTGTTTTTAATCAAGACTGGACAACGAAAATCTCTTCTAATCTTATGATCTTCGTTATCTCGGTGATGATCAGTTTGGATGTGATGACGCGGTGGATGTTTACAGCGGTAATCATTGTCATTGTCATTAAATCATTCAACGATTATCCGGCATTTCTCCAAGCTTGGCTTTGAGCTTTGGCCACTCACAAGGGAAGGTCAACCGGGTGTGGTGGCCAAATGACACGAGTTCATTCTTCGATTTAGCATTTATCGTTTCTAATTTAACTCCAGCTACGACATAAAAGCGAGACAATTTGTATCCAATAAGGCAATGTTGATAAGGTAATGCTAATAAGGCAAATGTCTGTCATGTCAAAGAATTTCTCAGATTAAAAAACTTAAGGCTAATCCTTTGACTTCCTTTGAAATCCGTTTTCTTTATATTTCTTTGTCTTCACTTTTAATTAAGTTACCTTTTGTCTCTAAATTTCCCTAAATTTCTTCAGTTTTGTCGTATTTTTAGTTAAAACAAAAGCTAAAATGCTCTTAAAAGTTTTTCTTTACAACCATTTTCATTTGTTTGCTTTGTTTGTTTTGTTTATTTTGTTTGTTTTATTTGTTTTTTCAACTTCTTTGCCAACATTTCTCTTTTTTTCAGACTTTTGTTTTCAGAAATCGAGAAGATGCGTCCGTTTTCAGTCTGCCTTTTGCTCGCCTTCATTTTCGGTAAGTTAACATCATATTTCATCTCGTTTTCAACCAACTATGCTCTGTTTTAATATCTCTATTTTAATATCTCTATTTTCAGGGCTCACTTTTACGATGAGCTTCGTTGCGCCAGGAGGAGCCGTGCCGTTCTGCACTTTCACCCCCATTTGCAACACGTTTTGTCCGGTGCGAAATGGCAACTGAGAAAAAGTTCACCAGTTTTGCAAATTTCACTTTCTAATTTAAGTATTTAAAGCTTAAATTCGTAAAATCGAATAGTAACTAATAAAGAAAACGATTAGGACAATCTTCAAGCCGACCGCGACTTATAGAGACTCACTTCTAATGATCTAGCTCAACGAGAACTCAATCAATCCCTATGAAAATTTTGGAGATGATTTTTGAGTATCTCTCCTGTAGTCAAGCCAATTTTTTAACTGATTGGTGCTTCTAGAAGCTTTATATGATCTTAGAAAGTCGATCACAGAGTTGATCACAGCATCACATTTTGTTAGGCAGTTTAATCAAAATCGATGACAGAAAATTGAATTTCTATGAGGTTTTTAATCTCCTGTTTTATCTTCTGTTTAATCTTTTTGATCTTTCCTTTGTCTTAAACGTAACCATATTCATTAAATAACTTCAAAAACGGCTCAAAAACCCTAAATTGAGTTTTTCGTCAGGTGTACCTTGACTCTGAACTTTGTAAGATCATATAAAGATTCTAGAAGCACCAAATAGTTAGAAAATTGGCTTGCTTACGGGAGAGATACTCAAAAATCATCTCCAAAAGTTTCATAGGGATTCATTGAGTTATCGCTGAGCTAGATGATTAGAAGTGAGTCGCTATAAGTCGCGGTCATGGTTGAAAAAGTTACTTAAATTAGAAAGCAAAACTGGTAAACCTTTTATAGATTTCTGTATGTAAAGCACAAGTTTTAATAGTGTAGAAAACGCTTTCCGAAGGGAGGCTCGTGCTCGGGCTTAGGCTAGCGGCTTAGGCTTAGGCTCAGGCTTAGGCTTAGGCTTAGGCTTGGGCTTAGGCTCAGGCTTAGGCTTAGGCTCAGGCTTAGGCTTAGGCTCAGGCTTAGGCTCAGGCAAAAGAATCCATGTTACTGTGTTGTTAGATATCACAGGATTCTTATAAGCAATAGGAGAAACAATGGAAGTTTTGATAGTGTAGAAAACGTTTAAGTCTACGAGAAAACGAGAATTAATAACTATGGAGAAGAGAATTGATAACTGTTTTTGTGTTTAGGATGTGACCGAATGCTGCCAAACGCTCGGCTTTCCGAGCGGCGCGTGCTCGGGCGGACTAGCTTGCTGCACTTAGCCCTAAAAGCACTTGACCCTGAAAGCACTTGGCCACTTGGCCACTTTTATCGAACTTAAATAGATTTCTGCTTTGGTTTTTAATAGATTTCAAATTCTAATATCAATTTGCTTTGTTTAACGTTTAATTTTAACGTTTTGCTTTTCCTCTAGCTAATTTCTATGCTTTCAGGTTTGAAAAATAAACTTTAAAGAAAGAAACTCTTAAAGAAAAGCACTGAAAATAAAGGACCAAACCTACAAAAATTGCACCGATTTCAAAGCAAATTATCAAATTACCAAGTTACGTTTTCTTTGTAAATCTCAAAGGATTTAAATCCTTCAAGAGAACATTTTTGATTTCCACAGAGATTCGAACTTCCCTATGACATACAAGCGCTTTTTTTGACATAAACCTTCGTGTTCCCTCGTTTCATTTCCTATGATTCAATGTTGTACCAATTAAACTGAACATTTAAATCTTAATAACCGAAAAAATAGCCGCAAATGCCCAGTTTCTTTAACCTAAATAACCAAAACACAGTTTCCGATTTTTGAGAAAAATTTCATGATTTCCCCAGAGAAACCAGAATTTATCCTTTTCCGATTCCTTTTTATAATTGTTGACGAACAGTTATTCAACAACGAGATGTGTTCTTTTTCAATTATTTCTCAATTCTCAACATTATTTAAAGTGGAAATAAACTTCTATAAAGCTTTTTATGCTTTGTTCTGTAGTTTGGCTGATGATTTAAAACCTGGTTAAAATACCTTTTTTACCTATTCTCAATAATTCTCAATTCTCAAACCTCAAACTTCTCATAAATCTCTTTCTCAATAAAAATCTCATAAATCGTTTACAAGCATTTAAATTCTCATAATATGACATAATAATATAATATAATATAATCCTACTTATTATAAGCGAGAGAGTATGTCTGTCTGTCTATCTGTCTGTCTGTCTGTTTGTCTGTCTGTTTGTCTGTCTGTCTGTTTGTCTTGATTAGGCTTGATTAGGCCGTTGTTGGCAATAGTCTTTCTCCATTTTTCTTTCAAATCTCGGATCCCTTTACTGAATATAAGAACACGGGAATTCCATCAAACAGATAACATAGCCTTTCTCCCATCACGTTGTGGCGTCGTTTTTTGGCTGTTCTCCTGGACTTAACCACTGTTGTTTTCGCGATGGGTTATCGTGGTAAATCCATTTTTCATCGGCGTCATTTGTCTGTCTGTCTGTCTGTCTGTCTTGATTAGGCTTTATATAGAAAGGGAAAAGAAAAGCTTCATTGTTTTGCCTTTAAATGTTTTTTGAAAATCTTTTGCTTAAATAATGAAAGTGCTTAATGCAAAAACTGAAAGCTAAACGTTTTTTTATTAAAAACTTAAGTAAAACTCGTTTATCTTCTAACTTTTCTCTATTTTCCATAGCTTTTTTATACGGTGAATTGAAATACATATTTGCACAGCTTAACAAACAAAAAATGAACCCATTTCTTTGAAAAAAACTCATTAGCATACGAAAATCGAAAAAGTTTACAGAGCATTTGAATATTAGAGATCAACTTTAAAGAGATTAACTTTAAAGAGATCAACTCTAGTTTTTTTTGTTGTTATTAGGTTTTAGAGCAATCTTTTCCAAGCAAAAGCCATTATTCGACTCACACAAAATATTAGATTCGAAAGAAAAGTTCTCCAAAAAAAATCTCGAAAAATAGTTACCTTACTGATTCAGCTATGGCACAAGAAAATGAACAGGATCAACAGGATGAACTCAACAAGTATCAGACCGAGATAAATTTGGCTTCTAACAGCACAATCACATGTCACCGAATCAAATAGAAATTGGGATTGACAATTTCAATTGAATCAAACTCAATCAATTCATTCAAGCACGGATAATCGAGTTTTTACAGGTTTTAAAATTTAATGCCGAGGCTTTTATTGGGTTGGGGAGAATGAGTCGGCGCCGAAATTTAAAGAAACTTTTTGCACCCATAAAACCTTCTTTAAATACACGTTTTGTTTCATCAAAAAAGTCCACTATTTCTCTACAAAATGACTTTTGAGAGATTCCATAAAGCTTTTCTTTCGTGGAGATTATGGACTCCCAAACACAGCTAGTCAAAATGGCAAAGTGTCTGACTCCTCGTTTGAACAGTTTCTTCCACATAAACCTTCTTTGGTGTCTACATAAAAAAGATAGAGTATACTCAATTGCATAAGTTGCCAAATTTACAGGAAGATCCTTCCAACCGTTTACTCTAGATGACAGTTTATCGATTTTGTGAAAAAAATGATCCTTTGTTGAGTTGAGGCGCTGTTTGAGTTCTCTTTTAAATATTATTTTGTAGAGAATTAGTTACCCTTCTACGGATATCAAACGCATATCATTTGACAAAGTCTGCTATAAGTTTTAGAAATTTCTTTGATTTTCGGTGCCGACTCATTTAATATTTAAATAATATTTAAAATATTTAAAATAATATTTAAAAGAGAACTCAAACAGCGCCTCAACTCAACAAAGGATCATTTTTTTTCACAAAATCGATAAACTGTCTCATTCTCCCCAACCCAATACTTAATGTTTATTAATTAGTAATGAGAAACAATAAAACGCTCTCGGCCTTCGAGAAAGGACAAATCGAAGTAAATAAACACGAGACTATTGCTGGAAAGACTATTGCTATATATATTGCTATAGTATACACGGGAATTGCTCGACTTCTGGATCGAAGTGATGATCTCATCGACAATTACCGACAGTTACGACAGAAAACCCCGACATGACGGAGACCAGAACTTTTGTTTTTCGAGAACTTTTTTCTGAGAACTTTTCTTTCGAACCTAATATTTTGTGTGAGTCGAATAATGGCTTTGGCTTGGAAAAGTTTGCTCTAAGACCTAGAATAAACAACAAAAACTAGAGTTGATCTCTTTAAAGTTGATCTCTAATATTCAAATGCTCTGTAAACTTTTTCGATTTTCGTATGCTAATGAGTTTTTTTCAAAGAAATGGGTTCATTTTTTGTTTGTTAAGCTGTGCAAATATGGATTTCAATTCACCGTATAAAAAAGCTATGGAAAATAGAGAAAAGTTAGAAGATAAACGAGTTTTACTTAAGTTTTTAATAAAAAAACGTTTAGCTTTCAGTTTTTGCATTAAGCACTTTCATTATTTAAGCAAAAGATTTTCAAAAAAACATTTAAAGGCAAAACAATGAAGCTTTTCTTTTCCCTTTGTCTTCTCTTCGGCGCCTTAATGGCGGTGAGTTTTAGTTTGTTTTTCAAATATTTTATTTCTAAGCTACGAGATGCTCAATCTTGCATCTTTGTTTTGATTTTTTTGGCTGATTTTTTATGCTATCAGTAGAACTAGGCTTAAAATAAATATAGCGAAAAAAAAACAGCTAAAAAACAACCAAAAAACATCCAAATCCGTTCACAGAATCGTGAGAAAAATGAAAGCGGAATTTGGGCGTCACCAATCTAACTTTAAGCTCAAATTTCTTGGTGTTGGACTGTCCAATTCCAATAGTTTTGGTACCAATCGATAGAGAAAGACTTGGCGCATCTAATGATACCAAAAATATATAAATTGAACAGCTCAACACCAAGAAATTTGAGCTTAAAGTTAGATTGCCAATGGCAAAGTGGCGGGGCGCCTATTAAATGTCGGTTAATCGGCAATGGGCATCACCAATCTAACTTTAAGCTCAAATTTCTTGGTGTTGGGGTGTCAATTTATAAATTGGAAGGGGCTGGGCAAAGGGGCCGGGGCGACCTTTCATACGCGCCCCGCCCCTTTTTCCATTGGCAACTTTGAGCCCAAATATCTCGGTGTTGAGCTGTCCAATTTAAAGCTTCTTGGTATCATTAGATGCGCCAAGTCTTTCTCTATCGATTGACACCAAAACGATTTAAATTTAACACCCCAACACCAAGAAATTTGAGCTTAAAGTTAGACTACTGATATTTCGTAATTTTCTTGACTTCTTTTTAAAGTTATAGTAAAAATTGTTGAAGAAACAAATTCTTAAAAAATTTTAGCAATCAACAGATCCGACAGTGACCATGATGACAACCGGAACGGTCTCTGGTGGACCAGCCACCGATCCCTGTACTTTGTGCCAATTCATTGTGAGCCAGGTGCGAAAAAAAGTTTAAACTATAAAGTCACCAGCTAATTTTGAGTTAACACTACTTAGATTTCAATATAAATTTTTAAAAAAAACTCAAATTAACCTCCCATTTCAGGCACAATCTCACTACCGTAGCGGGGAAAGCAAAAAGGATGTGCAAAAGGATTTGCATGATGTAAGATTTAGTGAAATCTGGCGGAATCTCGAGAATTTTCATTTTTTAGGACTGCAAAACGCTGAGACGTTTCTACGGGGAACAAGCGGTGAAAGAGTGCAGCGATTGGGTGGACACAAACATCGACGTGCTCTACTCGGAGATACAAGCTGGTTGGGATCACAGTTACAATTAATTGGCTGGCAAAAAGGCGCTAAAAATTAGGCATAGAGCTAAGGAATGACACCAGCTCAAATTGCTTTAGCTAATCGTTCAGAATCGTTTAGAATCGTTTAGAATTGTTTGGAATCTTTCAGAATAGCTTCGGAATTGTTTGGAATCATTTAAAGTCGTTCAGAATCGTTCAGAATCGTTAAGAATCGTTTAGAATTGTTCAGAATCGTTCAGCATAGCTTCAGAATTGTTTGGAATCATTTAGAATCGTCCAGAATCGTTTAAAATCGTTTAGAATCATTTAAAGTCTTTCAAAATCGTTCAGCTCCGTTTAAAAACGTTCAGAATCGTTCAGAATCGTTTAAAATCGTTTAGAATCATTTAAAGTCGTTCAGAATCGTTCAGAATCGTTCAGAATCGTTCAGAATCGTTCAGAATCGTTCAGCTCCGTTTAAAATCGTTTAGAATCGTTCAGAATAGCTTAGTGACCTCATAGCACCACATAGAGTCTGCTATGCTGATTATGAATCTGTAAAAATTAGCTGCAAACACTGACGTAATCGCAAGGAATCTGGCATAGAAAATCCCCCTAAATTTTGGACTCTTTATGGGCCGCCAAAACCTTCGAAAAAACCTTCATTGGACTAGTGGATAGTATGCTAGCCTACAGAACTTATGAAGCTTCTTGGCTTTGGTTCGAATCCTCCCCTTGCGTGGGTGTTTGCAGCTAATTTTTACAGATTCAGAATCAACATAGCCGACTCTATGTGGTGCTATGAGGTCAACTTTTTTGAAGCGATTCTGAACGATTCTGAACGATTCTAAACTATTCTAAACAATTCTGAAGCTATTCTGAACGGTTCTGAACGGTTCTGAACGATTCTGAACGATTCTGAACGATTTTGAACGATCCTGAACGATTCTGAATGATTCTGAACGATCTGAACGATGAACTCGATCACAAAGCAATTCTCAACTTCGAGCTCGTGTCATTTCCTTGTCAGTTTAGAAATCGTTAACTCACAGAAAACATGAACTAAAACTAAAATGAATTGCTGTTTGCTGTTTAGGCAAACTTAAGCTCTTTGGGCAATCCTGAGAATGGTTTTCCAATCTTGAAAGACGTCTCCAACTATCAGTTCAAAAGTGGACGAGACCTGATAGCCTTTTCAGCCATTTCTTTGTCGATATTAGCCCAGCCTAGCCAAACTAAGGCCCATTGAATAAACCTTAGAAATGGCTATGCGATAGAGCTAAATTTAGTTCAATTTTTTTCATTTGGCAAGGCTATGGCAATCGAAAACGAAAACTGACAATCCAAATCATTATCATCCAATACCAAATCAATCATTTGCTTAAAATTTTTCTTTTCTTTCTTTTTCAAGAGTTTCTAGTTCGATTTCCTAGTTCTTTATTAGTTTTTTGCTTTTAGATTTTAAAAAGAAATTCAGGAAACTCGGCTGTTCAAATCTGCACTGATACGGGCGCCTGTGGAGGCACTGTCACTCCCAGCATTTCTCCCGTCTCATTTGCCATGAAAGGAGCAAAGTTTTTGTTTTAGTTTTCCGAGATTTGAATAAAGTTTGCAACAAAATTTAAATTTCTAAATATTCCTTTCAAAAAAATGAAAAAATTTGAGATAAAACTTTAGGTTTTCCATTTTTCTTTTTTTTTTATATTTTGAGGGAAAAGAGAGGGAAATTAAGAATCGAAAAAGTCTACAAAAATGGCAAAACAATATAAATTAAGATCCGAGTAAAGAGGGGGAAAAGATTTTAAGTTAACAGTCGGTGATAGGTCCAAAGAAATTTGAAGATTATTGATTGGGGCTCCAGGATTAGGCTTTGTGGGGTGTTTAGATTGGGCTTTCGACGATGATCAGCTCTCTGAGTCATCAGATTGCTGAAATTTGCTTTCATTCGGACGATATTGTCTATCTGAAACTGGCAATACTCAAAGATCAATGGTTTTCCTATGCTGTGATTTGATCAATGGCTTTCCTATGTCAACTCACTTGTGAATGGGATGCGTGTTTGGTGGATGAAATTCGATCGATTCGACGTTTGACACAAAGGACACTAGTCAGCATTTCTTGAAGCAAAACAAAAGCAAAGCAAAACCAAAATCCAAAATCGAGATCGAACTTGTGATGAAGAACCGAAAAAAGTCTTGAGTCGAGCTATGGCTTAAATCGAGTCATAGCTTGAGTCGAGTTATGGCTTGAGTCGAGTCATAGCTTGAGTCGAGTCATAGTCGAGTCGAGGCATGACATGTTATGCAAAGAACACTAGAACACAAAGCATAAAATTCTGTGCCGACTGGTATGCAAAGTTAAGAAGAAATGTGCTATGCAAAGAACACTAGAACACAAAGAACACTAGTCAGCACTTCTTGAAAAAAGCAAAACAAAAATCCAAAGTCGAGGTCGAACTTTCGAGGTCGATGGAACAACTAATGAAACTTTTCCAGTTTTTTAGCCCAGCACAACAAAGTTTATTCTAAAATTTTTCCCGAATTTTGCAATTATGAGAATTTTCTTTCAGTTTTCATAAAGAAAGTCAGATTTCAGAGATTTCGGAACTCAGGCGGTGACCTTTTCTTGCTATCTAGTGGATTTAGCTTGTGAAGAGCTCGAGCGATGCTCTTGTGACCCCAAAGAGGGGAGTGACCCTCCCCCTTTCTGAGCCTCTTCTCCCCTCTCATCAATGGCACACATCTGTCCCTCTGTTCCCTTCTTTCCCTTCTTTCCCTTCTTTCCCTTCTTTCCCTTCTTTCCCTTCTTTCCCTCTTTCCCTTGTCTTAATCTTTTCCTCACTTCTTGCTCACCAAATGTCTCCTTTTTCCCCTCTTTTCCACACTTTTCCTTCATCGCCTTTGTTTAATGCATTCTGCATATAAAAACCTCATCTTTTCCTCTTTCCGAACACTTCCACTAGTTGCCTTTTGATTTTTTTTGCTTTGTTTTGTTTTGTTTTGTTTGTTTTGTTTTGTTTTGTTTCCTTTCGTGTTCAATGGATCAATTTGAGAATTTCTTGACTCTTAAAGCTCTTATTTCTTTCTTATTTCTTTCTTATTTCTTATTTCTATTTCTTGACCCTTTGTGTTTGTGTTTTTAAACAAAAAAATAAATCATGATGATGACTTAAGATGGCTTAAGATGGCTTAAGATGGCTTAAGATGTGACTTAAGATGACTAAAGATGACTTCAGATGGTAAGACTTAAGATGGTGCCGGCTCACAACTCCAAGAAAGTCCAAGAGTTCTGCCAAAACAAATTCCCAGACTGAATTTCTTTTTCTGAGTGGCCACCTAGCTCTTCAGACCTCAACCCAATGGATTTTTCAATGTGGTCGGTTGTAGAAGCCAAAGCTTGTTCAAAGCTCCACAACAGAATCGAAAGCTTGAAGAAAGCACTGTTGAAAGCGTGGGAAGAGCTCGTAAACATTTTGGAAATCACATTTGAACTTATCAGCAAGATGGCGCACGGGTCCACAACTCCAAGAAAGTCCAAGAGTTCTGCCAAAACAAATTCCCGGACTGAATTTCTTTTTCTGAGTGGCCACCGAGCTCTCCAGACCTCAACCCAAGTGTGATCGGTTCTAAAAGTCAAAGCTTGTTCAAAATATTGGATTCTTGGATGAAGAAAGACTAGAATTGGATATTTTTTAAGGAGATGCAAAGCGAATGAATTGCCATACGTTTGGGTTCTCATTTCTCAGTTCCCAGTTCTCATAGAGGGTGGGGGTAATCGATTGACCCATTTCATTGGCCACCCCCATCCACCCTTTTCCCTAACTGACCCTCAATTCACTAACACTAGCCATGTGCCTATGTGTTGAGTGAACAATGTCGAACAATCACCGTTCACTCACCTGCTTTTTTTTTGTCTTTTAGCAACTGTTACCATTTTGTTGTTGAATATTTTCTGGGGTTTATTCATCGAATTCTTTTCTTCTTTTCTGTCAATGAGTTTTTTTTTGTTTAAAAGCTTGAGATCAGCTTTTAGTCAGCTTTGATTCAAGTTTTGATTCAAGTTTTGATTAAAGCTTTGATTCAAGCTTTAATTCAAGCTTTGATTCAAGCTTTGATTTGACTTTTGCTTGATCTTTGATTAAATCTTAAAGCCAGCTTTTCTTTGATTAACCAGAATTAACCAGGTACTTCGATTTTACAAAAAAATGTCAAACAACTTCTTTTTTTTAGAGTTTTTAAGAAAATTGACTTTTTACTTGATGCGTACTGGTCACAAGTTCACAAAAAGCATCAATTTTCTACAAAATTAACCCTGGATAGCTTATAAAACAGTTAAAACAGCAATAACAGCTACAGAACTTATAAAACAAAGAATATTTGAAGAACTAGCATCAATTAGCTTCTAAAGAACTTCTAAAACTGAGAACTGAGAACTTCTAAAACTGAGACTTGAGCCTATAGGCTTATAAAACAAAGAATACTCGATTGCGAAGATGAGAAATTGAAATTTCAGACAAAAGCTTTATCGCTGACCAATTTGATCTTTAAATTTGTGTTTATAAATGTAGTTTTGCTTTTACAACTGTATTTGACAAGATTATAGGTAGATAAAGATTATAGGTAGATAAAGATTATAGGTAGATAATCGTAACAAACTGCAACCAAGGCTTTTCTACAAGCTGGAGATTTTCTTAGCTTTACAAAAGGCTACTTGTTATAACAAGGGCAAAAATGATAATCTTAAAAAGGAAAAGCTTAGCTTAGCTTATAACGATAGTTATTTGCCTGCTGCTCTCCTTTTCCCCATTTGTTTTTTGATTTATTGTTTCACCATCATCAACCTACTCAAAAACGGTGAAGATTTATGTGTACTCATCACGCATTTCTCTTTATTCCTCTTTTCCTCTTTGCCTTAATCTCTATAAATGGCTCTGTTTATGGGTTTGTTTGCTTTAAGTAAATAAATCCTAAATCCGAAAGAAGAAAAGAAATGATAGAATAACAAAGTGTCTTTGTCAACAATGTCTTTTGCGCAGAAATTCTTAGCAGAATTTCTGCGCAAAAGAAGCAGAAGCAGAATGACCTAATAGAAATCTTTTGTGATCAACGTGCTTAAAATTAAAAGCGCAACCTTACTGGTTGTTCCTAACTCTTGAAATCGTTTGATTGCGTTGTAAACAAGTTGTTTGCGTATCATCAATCGCTTAGAGATATCCATCGCCAGAACGCCACGCTTGTGTAGGTCGATGATCGCATTTCGATTTGTCGTATTGAAACAAATCGGGAACGGTTGGATTTAGGAGCAAAAACGGCAACAAGCAATTGTTCAAGATATCTATCTAGTCATCCGATTCGAAACCATCTTCAGAGCGACCGGTCCAGCACAAAAGGCGGCCCAAACCATCACAGAACACTCACTTCTTGGCCATTCTAAAAAAAGAGTTTTGCGAAAAATAGTAAGTAAATAGTAAATAAATAGTAAATAAATAGTAAATAAATAGTAAATAAATAGTTAAATAAATTAAATAAACCAAAAGAAAGACAAAAACAATATATAAATTGTCAGCAAAAATATGCAAGATTAAAGATAGCCCTAATCCCCGTAATCCTGGAGGAGTGCATGATAAAGAGAGTGTGTTTACAATTTCAATCAAAGTAAAAATCAAAAAAACATTTGTTTCTGGATAGAAAACATTATTAAATAGTATTTTGCGAGGTTTCCATTTTTCCCATGCTCTTTCAAGGGTAGCAAAATTTGCCTTGTTCAAGGTTATTTGTGGAAAAACGCTTTTAAGTGAAAGAGATGTGAAATTACAGGGCGGTAAAAAGAAGAGTGAGAAAAAAAGATGAGTCGCAAAAAACAGGGACACAAATTAGATGGAAAACATTTACAAGAGTTGGGGTGGTTTCTAGAGGAATTTGTTTATCGCTTAATTTAAAAAAGAAAATCGATTGCCCTTGTATCTTGCAACTTATTGAGACGTTTACGCTTTCAAAAAAGTTTATGTTTATAAAACTTCAGTAAAGAATGATTTCGAAACGCTTTCATGTTAAATTTGAATTTCCGTTGCAAATTTTAAATGTTTTTCGCGCGACGTCGCATTCCAATTGACGTCGCCGCCATTTGGAGGTAGTCGATGGGAGCGTCGCGTCGTCGTTTCTTTTTCATTTTTTAAAAATCATTTTTTTAAATCATTTTTTTTGTCATCTTTTTGTCATTTTTTGTCAGATTGATTGAAATTATTGTTTTACGCGATAAATTTTGTGTTTCTCTTTGAAATGAGAAAGAAATCTATCTAAATGAGAAAGAAATCTTTGGAAGCCGAGTGGAGAATTCGGAACTTTCCGTAGTCGGACTACAATGAAGGTCAAAACTAATTATAAGATAGTTTGGGGGAATTGAATGGAAACCACTGAAGTAAAGTTCATTTCCGGGACCGTTACAAAAGTCTTCTGCACTTTATAAAACATAAAACCTTTATAAAACTTCTCAATTGGCTTCTGCTTCAATAATTGATGAGTTTTTCTATGCATTAGATCGCCAAAAGATCACATTTTCTTGCTAAAAGTAAAATCACGCAAAACTAAGTCTAGAATTACCTTAAACTGTAAGGCTTACTGTTTTCTTTTCTTAGGAACTAGGCATGTGCCTGTTTATTTGTTAGCCATGGCTTCTGCTTCGATAATTAATATGAAATTTAATCTGACAATGCCTTGAACTTAGTATCAAAACGAAGTACCAAATCTTACTTCCGAGATCCAACATTGAGGTTGAGGTTCTCGTAGTTTGTACTCGTTCTCGTGCTTGGGTCCTTGCCCCTCCTTTCCCTTCTTTTCCTTCTTTTCCTTCTTTTCCTTCTTTCCCTTCTTTCCCTTCTTTTCCTTCTTTTCCATACCCTTCCTCCTTCTTCCCCACTCTTTGGTCTCCTTTCTTCACATTTCCCCTTCTCCAATCCTCAAAAATTTGTCTCTCTTACATGGTCAGCTGGGCAAAAAGAAGGTTTTCTTTCTTTTCCCTTCAATCTCCTTTCAACAACTTGACATTTTTGCTATAAACACGTTCAATTTCAAGAGAACTTTTACGACAATTTTATATTTTTAAATCAGAGCAGAGCTTTTTACGCTTAAATTTAGAATTGAACTTAATTGAATTAAAATTCGTATCTTTTCAGAATCCAATGCGGTTGCAGCACTCCATTTAGCATCAATCTGTCCAACAAGAATGCCTAAAATTGGCGATTTATTTCTGATATTCACTCTTTTCCCACAATTATTTTTTGCCACTTCGTTGGGTGCCACGAAAAACGCGTCGATAGGTGAGTTTTCAATTTGTTGATAAACCTGGCTGGCTGTGGTCTGGGTTTGTGGCTTAGGCTTAGGCTTAGGCTTAGACTTAGGCTTAGACTTAGGCTCAAGGCTTCAATTTCTGGCCTGGCACAGGTCCTAGAGCAAGAATGTTTTAGGCATATGGCCTAAAAGCCAGATTAGACAAGGTCAGGTACCAAGTCAGGCTAGAGGCCAGGTCCAGGGTGACTTCTGAGCCAGGCCTGCAGCAAACCAGGGCCTGATGTACTTGGCTTGACCTGTAGTGCTGCTTTGGAACAACAAAACTTATCGCTAGCTTGTTGTTTACAAAATTACGGTACTTACCAGAAATGAAGCAAAGTTGCTTCAGGTTTAGATAAAAAAGCTTGCAGGTTACTGTGCTGTCGGTTTATTCTCATGCGACACATCGTATCGAAATACTCGCTGCATTCCGCAGAAATGGCTCTGCGACGGCGAGATCGACTGTGTTGATAGAAGTGATGAAGCACAGAATTGTGGTTGGTTTAAAATAGCTAAAATAGTTTAGCTAATAGTTAAAGCTGACATAAGTTAAGCTAACAATTAGGGAAAGATCCTAGACTTATCTCAATATCAGTTATCGACCCATCAGTTATCTCAATATTTTCCAGAGATCCAAGAATGTCGACCGGAAGAGTTTCGATGTCAAAAGTCAGGTCTGTGCCTGCCGGGAGTGTACAGGTTGATGAAAGAAAGCTTAATTTAAATTTATTTTGATCTAGATGTGATCGTGAAGTGGATTGTGGAGAGGATGTGCACGGAGTGATCGACGATTCGGATGAGGATACGGAAATGTGTAAGTGAGCATCGAAAACTCATTGAAATGATCAATGACTGATACCTGAATATTTGAATACCTGGATAAGAATCAATTGTACAAATTTTATAAGAAATTATTTCTTTTAAATACCGCATTTCTTCTTCTAGAGGATCCGGGTTTTTTATTTTTTAATAAGCAAAAATTTTCATCGTTAAAAACAACCGGTAAACCATTCTTTTCAAAAACTATTTTTGAAAATTATGTATACCGTATTTTCTCTATTAATGTCATTGTCAACAACACTGTCAACTGAACAACATTGCCGAAGTGCTTAATTGACCAAAAGCTTAATTAATTAATCAAAACTTAAGCCCCAACCCAATCGGTTTTCTTTAGGGCCCTCTTTAGCCAATTGGCCCTTAAGGCCCCTGTCCATCCATCATTGTCTCATTGTCTATATTTCATTGTCTATATTTGCCCATCATTGTCTAGACTTTGCCTCTATAATATTTCTCAAATTAGGGCATTCAAATTGTGAGTGTCTGTCAGAGTTACGGTACCTTAGAGTTACCGTCTCACCAATTGTACAGTCCCCTGTACCTTTTATACAATGTCCTAATTACCGTAACCATCTAAATCTCGTTAACAGATCACAATACTTTAAGCACTTTATAATAAACTGAGATTTCTCTTTCAAATCCCATTTTTTCAGGCGGAAGCCCAATCACATGTGAGCCAAATTTTCACGCCTGTTTGACCACTCAAATCTGCATTCCGTTGGATCGTTTTTGTAATGGAATTCTGGATTGTAAAGACGGCACAGATGAGGGGCAATTTTGCGACAAAAGTTAGCCTTTTCGGAATTCAGTTAAATGCAAATTTCAGTACGCCCTAGTGGATGCAAATTTGGCGGCTCGCCGACAATCAACGCTGGCTATCGATGCTATTGTCCGAGGGGGCAGGTTTGTAATAAAAATAGCAATATATAAAAATGTTATTATTATTATTATTACCGTAAATACTGTAATAGTACCCCAGACCCATAATGACGGTGCGGAGTGTTGCGTAGTCTAGCTTTGAACGAGTTTTTCTCGACACTGGTTTATGCTACAATGCTCGCTAAGGTATCAAAAAATAGCCCTGAATTTCAGCTATTTTTTGATATCAAAGACGCATTGTAGCAAACCAGTGTTGAGAAAAACTCGTTCAAAGCTAGACTACGCGACGCTACGTAATAGTAGCGCCCCTTCCCCCCTAAAATGATGGTCGGTCGCGTAGTCTAACTTTAAACACATCTTTCTCGCCACCTGTTTTTGCTACAGTGTGCGCTTAAGTATCAAATAAAAGCTGAAATTCAGGGCTATTTTTGATACCAAAGACGCATTTTTTGAAAGTACGAGCGCTTTGAAAAAAATGAAATACTAAAAAACTTTTGTGACTATGCAACTGTACTATTATAGTACTATTACAGTACTATTATAGTACTATTATAGTATTTACGGTATGTACAAATTATTTATGGTTATTTTGGGCACATTTAGGAACCAAAAGGCAATGATTGTATCGACGTGAACGAGTGTGAACAACGATTGAAAGGTCGATTTTAATCTAATGCTAAGATCTATAGAAAAAAATATGTTTCTTAATTTGTTAATATATTAATTTGCTTTACATCCAGGTCTTCCACCAGTTTGCTCTCAAAAATGCGAAAATCTCGAGTACAAGAACGCGACAAGTGCAGGGTTTTCGTGTAGTTGTGAGGAGGGATTCGAGCTGATCGATGGGAGGAAATGCGTGCCGAAAACGGGTAAATCCATGCAAAACTCAAATCTACGATAACAGATACTGGAAAAGTCTTAAAGTCTGTTCAAAATCTTTGAAGAGCCTTAAAGAAGGCAATTAAAATGCAAACTGAAACAAATGGCGAACCAAGTAGAGCCAAATGACTGAACTTTCACAAAATCTCATCCAAACTGTAAATGCTATTTGAATTGCTGTAAAAATTGCTATTTGAATTGCTGAATTATTAGATACTAAGGAAAATTATTTGCGTTTTTTCTACTCAATTTCAATCATCAAAAATTTTTTGATGATTAAAGATACTTTTATTCAACATGAATAAGTAGATACAACAAAACGGTGGACACAATTTTTACCCCTACAATGTAGTCAAGAAAAACCCAACTTAATGGGAAAAAGAACACACTTGATTTTGCCAGCGAGATCGAAACCTCGACCTTCCGATTAGGAGACAAGACTCCTAATCGGAAGGTCGACTGGTTAGGAGACAAGACTCCTAACCAGTCGGCCAACTGGACGTTTGAAAAAAAATTTTTCTTTAGAATATTAACATTTTCTCTAAAACATCAAAATCACATCCATTACAATCAATTCACTTTTGCCAGCAGACGGCAAGTTTTTCGATTGTATGAAGAAGTTAGAAGCTCTAGAGTTGATCTCTAGAGCTAGAGCTAGAGTTGATCTCTAGAGCTAGAGCTAGAGTTGATCTCTAGAGCTAGAGCTAGAGTTGATCTCTAGAGCACTAGAGAGAAATCCCGTACCTCTGATTGTCTCATCAAGTGTACAGTTAACTTTTGATTGTCTATGCTATTTGGTTAAATGGACTTCTCTCTAACGGAGCTCAACTATGAAATTTTAAAGCTTTAGATAAAATTTTAGATTCAAATTCTGCTCTTTTTCTCATCAGCGACTCATCAATCTCGTCTCGAGATCTCGCAAAAATTCAAGGTGATCGACTACAAGAAACGACTGAAAAGGTGGATTTTTGGCTTTTTAAAGAATCATTTTCAAAATTGAAACTTCAAAATTCAAAAAGTACCTTTTTTTTAGGACCTTAATGCTTTTGATATCGATATCGCCCAAGGAAGAGCGTGTTTCGTGAGCTCAGTGAGTTTTGGAGATTTATTAAATAGAAAATAAAGATTACTCTGGAAAATTTGTGATATTTTTAGCGAATCATCGTTTCCGATAATGTGGATATTGACGATGAATCGGTATTTGAGTGTGCGCCGGTGAAAGATGGTAAACTCGGGAGTACGACGTTGTCCATTGCGCCGAACACTTATCAATTGTCAAGTAAGTTTAGAGTTTAGTACCTTCAGTTATAAAGTTATAAATCATATATAAATCATATATATTAGGTTTTTCAGTTATAAATGCGCGTTTTTGAGGGCTTATTCCAAATATTTCTGCAAGTTCACGTGTAGTTTGTCGAGGATCAATTTCGATCGCCTGTTTAAGTACTGCATTATCGATCGTAGGAGACTGGTGGTCCTCATCTCCCAAAAATCTCCCTTATCTCCGTTCTCTCCTTCTCAAAATCGTTGAAACCATCGCCGACACTGGCTTTCCGAAATAGCATCTTCCAAAATACTTTCCAAAGGCCTCGATGAGATTCAGCGATATTTTTGCCCAATTTGAAGTCATACCAAAGTTATCTCTGCAAATTTGGTTCCTTATCTCTACAAATTTGGTTCCTGATTTCTACAAATTTGGTTCTTTATCTCTCTAAATTTGGTTCCTTATCTCTCTAAATTTGGTTCCTGATTTCTACAAATTTGGTTCCTTATCGCTACAAATTTGGTTCCTTATCTCTCTAAATTTGGTTCCTTATCGCTACAAATTTGGTTCCTTATCTCTCTAAATTTGGTTCCTTATCGCTACAAATTTGGTTCCTTATCGCTACAAATTTGGTTCCTATCTCTCTAAATTTGGTTCTTTATCGCTACAAATTTGGTTCCTTATCTCTCTAAATTTGGTTCCTGATTTCTACAAATTTGGTTCCTTATCGCTACAAATTTGGTTCCTTATCTCTCTAAATTTGGTTCTTTATCTCTCTAAATTTGGTTCTTTATCTCTCTAAATTTGGTTCCTTATCTCTACAAATTTGGTTCTTTATCTCTCTAAATTTGGTTCCTTATCGCTACAAATTTGATTCCTTATCTCTCTAAATTTGGTTCCTGATTTCTACAAATTTGGTTCCTTACCTCTACAAATTTGGTTCCTTATCTCTTCGTGTCGAGAAACTTCGTGTCGCTTACAGAAATTAAATCTAAACACAAAAATTGACGTCAAAAGCACGAAAAGTTGTAATAAAATAAGAAATCCTGAACAGCACACAGAAAATTGGGTTTGATAAAATTGTAAAGCTCTAAGGAATGCTGTTCAAGTTGTTCAAGAGCAGGCGTGCATTCATAACTGGACAACCTAATAAATCACATATAAATTCTAGATGTAAAACTTCTAAAATTCGATTGGATTGCGCGCAATTGGTACCTCGTCGACACGACTGGACGAGTGATCATTTTGTGTGCTGATGAACGGGTGAGTGTTTAGCAAAAAGTTGACAGTAAATGTCGGTAACTCAATAAAGCTCAAAGCTCAAGCTCAAAGCCCTAATCGATTCAAAAGTACAAGCTAAAATAAAGCTTTCTTTTTAGTTCACTTTGTGTAAAACGATTGTCTACAATGGAGTCGACAAGCCGGCTGATCTCGTTGTTGATCCAATCAACGGGTGAGTTGTTTTAAAATTTGAGATATTAGATACTTTTTGAATCCTTGCTACGTTGATGCAAAAGAAATTTCGGTTTTTTTAAAAATATTAGGTAAAATTCCTTTAGGTAACAATTTATTCTAAAAAATAAGCAGGTAAGAAATAGGTAATATTCTAAACAATAAGCCGGTAAGAAACAGGTAACATTCTAAACAATAAGTAGGTAACAAACAGGTAACAATTTATTCTAAACCATCGTTATCTATAAAATCCCTCCAACGTTGCTTCAGATTGCGGATCCCTTTGTCGAAGAACTCTTGATTCTGTGATTGAAAGTAGTTGATCACCCAACCAAGTAAAAACGATTTTTGAGTGTGCGCCGGTGAAAGATAGTAAACTCGGGAACACGACGTTGTCCATTGCGCCGAACACTTATCCATCTGCCCATGCGGTTTCTCTTCAAGAGATTCAATACCTTCTCGGAATCGATCAAACCAGAGCTGGCATCCTTTGATTTTTGGTCATCCTTGATCCATTACGATTGGTCTTTTCGATTATTTCCAAATGGCGGACAATTGTTGATTGATATCAATCGCTGCCCAGCGATGTCCATGTAGTTCGTCTTCAAGAGTCTTCCACGTCTTCATCGTCTTCATCGTCTTGTTGATTGATCACATTGAAAACCGTTGATTGATCGAGATTTTTGGCAAGATATCGTGATTTTTGCATTAAATCGGCTTCAATAAATTGTTCCAATTCAATTATCGATCGCTGTCGAGCGATGTTCATGTAGTTCGTCTTCAAGAGGTTCAATACCTTCTCGGAATCGATCAAACCAGAGCTGGCATCCTTTGGTCATAACTTGTTCTCCAAAAGCGGAACAGAGATCACGATGTGATTCGGCAGCGTTTTTGCCTAGCTTGAAATCCTAGAGAAGACACGCGCACACAACATACTTTTGATCTACCATAATCTAAAGCATATGATCGAAACACGTGCTCCCAGATTCGCGGTGCTCAATTCATGTGGAAACCATCGTCCATTATGATTGGTCTTTTCGATTATTTCCAAATGGTGGACAATTGTTGATTGATCACATTGAAGATGTTTGATCTCGTGTTGATCTCATGTTGTTTACATTAAATCGGCTTCAACTAGTTGTTCCAATTCAATTATCGATCGCTGTCGATGCTCATTTAGTTCTTCTTCAAGAGATTCAATACCTTCTCGGAATCGGTCAAACCAGAGCTGGCAGGATACGAGAGCTGGCAGGATACGAGAGCTGGCAGGATACCAGAGCTGTCAGGATACCAGAGCTGTCAGGATACCAGAGCTGTCAGGATACCAGAGCTGGCGGTCATAACTAAGACACGCGCGCACAACATCCTTTCGATTGACCATAATCTAAAGCAAATATCAATTAAAAAGTGGAAACTCTGAATTCAAGCGTAAAAATAAAGTAAATATTCAAGAGTACAAATATAAAAAAGAAAATGAAATAAGATTTCGAGATTTTAAAAAATAGAACGATCGCGTAGTCTAACTTTAAACACATCTTTCTCGCCACCTGTTTCTGCTACAGTGTGCGCTTAAGTATCAAAAAATAGCTGAAATTCAGGGCTATTTTTTGATACCAAACATGTATTTTTAGAAATTACGGGCGCTTAGAAAAAAATTATTTAGTAAAAACTTTTTTGCGACTACCCGACTGTACGGGGTGGGGGGGGGGGCGACTATTTAAAAAAGCCCGAAATTTCTTTTGCATCAAACTAGTATAACATTGATGCAATGAATGATATTTCAGTTATTTATTCTATGCGGATTTTGGCACAAAACACACCGGCGTCTGGCGTTTTAATCTTGATGGAACCGAGAGGAAAAATATGATTGACAAGGGAGCGGTGATGCTACAAGGTTGAATCTCTACGCCAACTTTGGCTCAGCTAATCTGCTCTTAAAAACTTTAACAACTTGCTTTTAAAGTGTACTTTTTAAGGACTACCTTTTAAGGGCTACTTTTTAAGGGCTACTTTTAAAGTGTACTCTTTAAGGGCTACTTTTAAAGTGTACTTTTTAAGGGCTACTGTTTAAGGGCTACTGTTTAAGGGCTACTGTTTAAGGGCTACTGTTTAAGGGCTACTGTTTAAGGGCTACTTTTAAGGGCTACTTTTAAAGTGTACTTTTTAAGGGCTACTTTTAAAGTGTACTTTTTAAGGGCTACTTTTAAAGTGTACTTTTTAAGGGCTACTTTTAAAGTGTACTCTTTAAGGGCTACTTTTAAAGTGTACTTTTTAAGGTATACTTTTTAAGGACTACCTTTTAAGGGCTACTTTTTAAGGGCTACTTTTAAAGTGTACTTTTTAAGGGCTACTGTTTAAGGGCTACTGTTTAAGGGCTACTTTTAAGGGCTACTTTTTAAGGGCTACTTTTTAAATTATACGTTTTAAAGTCTACTTTTTAAAGTAACTTTTTGCCTATTTGTAAGCGCACCACACAGATTTACGTCTGCAATTTAGCGTTGGCGATCGATATCCATTCGAAGACGTTATACTATTTGGATACGTATTTGGAGTTGATCCGAGCCATCAACTATGATCAAGCGGGAAAATCACGAATTGTAGCCAGTGGGAGAATTGTGGGTTACAAGAGAAAAAGATCGCAATTTTCGCATTCTTTCAGCTCAAATCAATGTCTGGGATGGTTGTGCTGGGCACGAGACTTCTGTTGGTCGGAAGGAAAAAAATCGTTGAATATGACACGATGAAGGTGCAAAAGAATGAAGTTTAGAATGCTAGGATTACCCAAGAAAAGTTAAAGATGAAGTTAAAGATGAATTTTTGCTTTCAGAATAGCACTCAAAAAGCCGTTCTTTACGACGATTACAATGTGGAGAAAATGGTGGATCGAGTCGCGATTTATCATGAAAGTTTGCAAATGAAAGGTGAGTTGGGGAAAAGGGCGTACAGCCGGCGTTTTGAGGTGTACAGCCGCGTAGTCGTTAACTCTTTTATTGATAATTTGGTCTCGTTTTTATCTATCAAATTATCGAAAACTCAACCTATAGCGTTTTTGAAAAAGTAGTCACGCTTTGAACGCCTATAACTTTGTCCAGAGATAATATTATTCTTAACTTTTTATATCATTGTATAGAGGACATTTCAGGCTTTTAGATGATATTAAATAAAGCTTGATTCGATTTTTCATTTCCATAAAAATGAAGTTAAACATAAAAATTAGGCTTTTGTCGAGTTTTAATGATTGGTCCCACTTTGAAGACCTATAACTTTGTCCAGAGATAATATTATTCTTAACTTTTTATATCATTTTATAGAGAACATTTTAGCCTTTCGAATGATACCAAATAAAGCTTGATTGGATAATCCAGCCCAGGAAAATCAAAGCCAACTCTAGCAAATGAGACAGATCAAACTAGGGCACGGTGTTGCTTCATTTTTATGGAAATGAAAAATCGAATCAAGCTTTATTTGGTATCATCTAAAAGCCTGAAATGTCCTCTATACAATGGTTTAAAAAGTTAAGAATAATATTATCTCTGGACAAAGTTATAGGCGTTCAAAGCATGACGACCCGTTCAAAGACCAGGATTTCTTCTTTCTTTCTTTCTTTCAAAAGACCCAGATTCTTTTAAAAGACCCGGAAACTATGCAAGAGCCAAAAAAAATTGTTTATCAATTCCAAACTAGAAATATAACAATAGTTTTCAAGAAGTTTGTAACTATTTATAGAAATTTTTGCAATAAAAAAAGCGCAAAAGATACTTTTTTCGAAGAGCATAGAATAGCCAATAAATCAAAAACTAAAGGAATTATTTAAAAACTTGAATAAGATTTCAATTCTGTGAAAAATTAGCTATCTTTTGGTTACAAACACTTATGAAATAAAGTCCAGGAAGCTTTTAGAGAGAGAATTTTAAAAAAGAACAAAACTTTCGCCGCACCCTGTACAGTTAACTCTCGATTTAAACATATTGGAACCATATTGGAATCATATTGGAACCATATTCCTGAAAGGAACATATTGGAATCATATTGGAATCATATTGGAATCATATTAGAACCATAATCCTGGAAGGAACATATTGGAACCATATTGGAACCGTATTGGAACCTTAAAAGGAACCGTATTGGAACCGTATTGAAACCCTATTGGAGCCGTATTAGAAACGTATTGGATAAAAAATAGGAACCGTATTGGAACCGTATTGGAACCGTGTTGGATCATAATAGGAACCGTATTAGAAACGTATTGGAGCCGTATTGGAATCATATTGGAATCATATTGGAATCATATTGGAACCATATTCCTGAAAGGAACATATTGGAACCATATTGGAACCATATTGGAATCATATTAGAACCATAATCCTGGAAGGAACATATTGGAATCATATTGGAATCATATTGGAACCATATTAGAACCATATTCCTGAAAGGAACATATTGGAACCATATTGGAACCAACGATTTTGAAATTCTAATAGGTTGATGTATAAGTCTTTTCGTTTTTTTCGTACTTCTGTTAAAAAGTAACAAATTCACGAATTAATCTATAGTTTGCTCTATCAAAAAAAGTGTTTTTTTTGTTCAATTTGCATCTTTTTAAATGAATTTCGGTTGACTTTCAAGCAAATTCGAGAGTGAAAAACGCCTTTTTCGTAAAAATCTATAAAAAACTCTACGGAAAAATTGGCTGAATGAATTTCTCTGAAATTTTGGCGAAATATCAAACGTTTTGTTTTCTCTATCTTTTATCTATTGACACGAAGATAGGTTTTCTTTAGCTAAGGTGTCTAAACCGCTCAGGCTCAGGCTCAGGCTTAGGCTGAGGCTTAGCCTGAGCCTGAGCCTGAGCCTAAACCGCATCATCGAGTTAGCCCTTTTTGACTACCCGACTTCATACTCTCAAGAAAATCCAGGCATTAAATATTTTTAAACCCGTTTTAATGTTATTTTGCAGAAAAATAATTGCTTTTTCTAATGAAATCAACCGTAGTTTAATTGGTGCATTTGTTGGCTTGAAACGGCAGACGAAAAGGAACAAAAACACTTCCTAATAAAACACTTCCTAATAAAACAAAAAACAGAACAAAAACAAAAACATCAACCTAATAAAACACGCTTTTCATTTCTACATAGTTGCCCAGCGAAATGTAATCATTAGCCGTTTAGGGCAGCTACGCAAGAAATTCCTGGCACGTTTTAAAATCATTAAATCGAAATTGTTGATCCCGAGCGAATCGTTAATCGATTGTAGTTGTTATTTTTAAAATTTCTTTTTAATTTCAATGTTTTAGATCAAATTTAAGTTTAGTTTTACATTAAAGCAAGCTTTTTTAAAAAACAATAAACTCAAAGTTCAGCTCCGAACGCATGCCAAAAAAACAACGGTGCTTGTTCGGATATTTGCGTTTCAATGCCCGGAAAAGAGGGACCAAAAGCGAAATGTTTATGTAAAGAAGGTATTGAAAAAAGAAACAGAAAGAAGTATTAGAAATCAATCAGGTTACACGAATCGTGATGGGAAATGCGTGATTGGTGGAGTGGGTGATCCGTTGTTGATCTTTGCTCGAATACGACCAGCGAGCATAGCCGGGATTCCGCTACAAATCGAGAGCACACCATTGAATACTTCAAAAGTAAGGGCTCAAATTTACAATGTTTATAAATAGAAACTTTGTTGATCTTGATCTTGATCTTGAAACTTGAATGTAAATTTGATTTAAGATAAGTCTAAGATAAGGTTAAGATAAGGTTAAGATAAGGTTAAGATAAGTCTAAGATAAGTTTAATATAGGTTCTTGTGCTAGCTTTTTTTATCCAATTCGCTAGAAAATTAGCTTTTAAATGAGGTATTGCACGTCCTGATTGGACAAGTTTAAGAACAAGGTTAAGGACAAGGTTAAGGACAAGGTTAAGAACAAGGTTAAGAACAAGGTTAAGGACAAGTTTAAGAACAAGGTTAAGGACAAGGTTAAGGACAAGGTTAAGAACAAGGTTAAGGACAAGGTTAAGAACAAGGTTAAGAACAAGGTTAAGGACAAGGTTAAGGACAAGGTTAAGGACAAGTTTAAGGACAAGTTTAAGGACAAGTTTAAGGACCAGGTTAAGGACAAGGTTAAGGACAAGTTTAAGAACAAGTTTAAGATAAGTTATTCTGCTTGCTGCATAACTGAATCAGTAAGGTAACTGTCGATGAGATCATCACTTCGATCCAGAAGTCGAGCAATTCCCGTGTATACTATAGCAATATATCTAGCAATAGTCTTTCTATTGTGTTTGTTTGCTTCGATCTGTCCATTCTCGAAGGCAGAGAGCGGTTTATCTTTTCTCATTACTAAAAATAACTTAATAAAGTAAAGTCAATTGAATTAGGTCTAGGTCTCTCCAATTGGCAGTAGAGATTGCCACAAATTGGTACTCCAATTGGCAGTACAGTAGAGATTGCCTCAAATTCAACACTTTCTAAAAAGTCTTAACTTCCCGGGTAGGTGATCGATTGATATTCAAGATCACAACAAGTTCTAGGTCTCGCCAATTGCGAGGGTTTAGCATACGAGTGGACAATAACTTTCCCGAGTGCAATTCTAACTCTAATTTTTATATAATAAATCTATTTTTCGTATCTTTCTTTCTTTAAAATCCTTACAGAATTAGAAAATACCAATAAATACCAATAAAACTCGAGAAAATGATGCATTTCTAGGTCGAGCAACTGATGCCCCCAATCCAGCACCTCTTTCGGCCAACAGCTCTAACGATTGACTCACAAAAAATGCATCTTTATTTCTCAGATGCTCGCAATTTCACAATCTATCGACGATCGATTCAGAAAACGGAACTCGAAGTGGTGATTGAGTCGGGTAAGGTGATCGATTGATAATCCAAGATCACAACGAGTTCTAGGTCTCTCCAATTGCGAGGGTTTAGCATATGAGTGGACATCTGGGAACATCTACTACACTGATCAAGTAAGGGTTTTTGATTTTTTAGCTTTAGAATTAATATTAATTAGGGTCTGCGTCATGTCGGGGTTTTCTCGAGTCGCAATCCGAAACACCGAAAGATTCTCCTCGACACTGAGATGCGAAATCCGCGCGCGATTGCTGTTCATCCAATTAAGGGGTCAGTTTTTCTCTTAAACTAAAACATGCCTCAAGTACCGTAACCCTAAAGTTAGTTGGTGTTTCACAGATCTTTATTTGTAGATTATCGTAGTCAAGTCTTGGTTTAGAGTTGGGTTTAGAGTTGGTAAGCTATTAGCTTCAAGGTAAGCTATCAGTTTCAACGTAAGCTATTAGCTACATGGTAAGCTATTAGCTACAAGTTGAGCTATCAGCTTCAAGGTAAGCTATTAGCTTTAAGGTAAGCTATCAGCTTCAAGGTAAGCTATTAGCTACAAGTTGAGCTACAAGGTTGTCCATAAATTATTATGAAAAGCTATTTGAAAGCAATAACTTCTTGATGTACACAGTTTATCAATAACATATTAAAAATTCACCGGCAAAGCGTTCCAAGATTACGGTAGTTATAGTGTTTGTTAATAGGCGACAATGGAGTTTCTCTCTCCGCAACGATATTGGGCCTAGTTAGCGCTGTGGATTCGCTGCGCGGTGATGTAGTGGTAGTGCTTTCAGTTCCAAAGCGAATGCCCTTGGGTTCGACTCTTTCTTTGAAGCCATATAGCTTTGGTTCTGATTAGCGCTTTTGATCTGATCGTTCTGTTCTGTTCTGTTCTGATCGTTCTGATCTGATCGTTCTGATCTGATCGTTCTGATCTGATCGTTCTGATCTGATCGTTCTGATCTGATCGTTCTGATCTGATCGTTCTGATCTGATCGTTCTGATCTGATCGTTCTGATCTGATCGTTCTGATCTGATCGTTCTAATCTGAATCTGATCTTTCTCTAGTTGTTAACCTAATAGACAGGGTCGCGCAAAATTATCCGAACCAATAAAACACATTTTTCGGACAAATTGTAATGAGAATCGATTACATCTACATTTCAGATATCTCTTCTTCTCGGATTGGTCAGAGAACGCGGATGGAAAAGCGAAAATCGAGAGAGCAAAACTGGATGGATCTGAACGAAAGACTTTGATAAATCGAAGGTTTTTCATCCGAAATTTATCAAATTAATGAACTTTTTCTTTGAGAATTCAATGGCCAAACGGTTTATCGATCGATTTCGAGAACGATTTTCTGTACTGGTGCGACGCTTTTTATGCGCACATTGAGCGGATTCGACTGAATGGAAGCGATAGAGAAGTGAAGAAAATCAACTATAGAAAATAGACTATAGAAAATAGACTATAGAAAATAGACTATAGAAACTAGACTATAGAAAATAGACTATAGAAAATAGACGATGGAACATAGACTATAGAAACTCCTTTATAAATCTATAAATCGATCAAATCTTAGATTGTTGTCGCTTCTCAATGGGTCAATCACCCTTACGGACTCTCCGTCTACAATGGTTTTCTCTTTTGGTCGGATTTCAAGGTGGGGTTTGAGAAAAATCATTATGCCGTATTTTCTCTAATAGTAGTGCACCATGAGCGTCGCTTAAATTACTCGAAATCTCGAGAACCGCTTATCAGAACCTATCGTTGTGGGGTCGGAAAATGTAGCTGACGATGAGATCTTGACGATGATTAGAGTGTTGAGCTTCTGGGAAAACTTTGGAAGCCGTAAATAGTCATCAACTCGGCCCAGCGGGATGCACTACTATTAGGGAAGATACAGTATTCAGCTTTGCACGCGCTCTCAGGGGTTTTCGGCTATGGAGAATCTGACTTTTGGGTCTATTTCTGAAAAGATTTCTGAAAAAATTAAGTAGCAAATTCTTAGCTCAGCTAACGTTAAGAACTCGATTAATCAACAAAACTTGGGTTTTGTTTAGTCAAAACACAACTTTCGGTTCATTGCATCAACTTGACTGCTTTCCCTAATTCCCGCTTCACTTAAATTCCTCGAAATCTCGAGAACCGCTTATCAGAACCTATCGATGTGGGGTCGGAAAATGTAGCTGACGATGAGATCTTGACGATGATTAGAGTGTTGAGGTTCTGGGAAAACTTTGGAAGCCGTAAACAGTCATCAACTCGACTCGGCCGCGGTGCACTACTATTAGAGAAAATACGATAACTTATTAAAAACAATGGAAATTCTCAAGAGTAGTGAGCCAGATTCAGTACAAAAGTACACAAAGAAGTAAGAAACACTAAATCTTAGGCTGGAGTGATTAAACGAGCGCTTCTCTCAAGCACATCAAATGCGACGAATGTTGTGACGATCTATGAAGAGACGTCACCGATTTTTGAGCTTCAAATCTACGAACAAAATCTGCAAAAAGGTAAATGTGGTAAAGCGCTGGATGATAGAAAGAAACTATTTGAATAAGTTTTTGTTTAGTTTGCCTACAAAAATCCGCTTTCAGAAACGACCGCTTGCTCGAAAGACAATGGAGGCTGCGAGCAATTGTGCTTTCCGATGGGGTTAGTAGACTGTACTAACAATGCTAATACATATAACTTTATCTACTATACAGAGTGCTTTAAAATTATAGCAATTCGGGTCGGCCTGCAATTAAGATATCGTTGATTTACATTTTTAAAGCTTTAAAAAACAATATGTCGCAGCCGCTCGTGATTCAATCACCGACGACTAGCCACTAGTGATTCAATCACAGACGACTAGCCACTAGTGATTCAATCACTGACGACTAGCCACTAGTGATTCAATCACTGACGACTAGCCACTAGTGATTCAATCACTGACGACTAGCCACTAGTGATTCAATCACTGACGACTAGCCACTAGTGATTCAATCACTGACGACTAGCCACTAGTGATTCAATCACTGACGACTAGCCACTAGTGATTCAATCACTGACGACTAGCCACTAGTGATTCAATCACCATCGGCTAGCCACTAGTGATTCAATCACCGACGACTAGCCACTAGTGATTTAAGACTGACGACTAGCCACTAGTGATTCAATCACCGACGACTAGCTGCTGGTGATTGAAAGTTTTTTAACGAAACATTTGACCGATAGTGGTTGAATCACTAGCTGCTGAAAACCACGAGCTGCGACATATATATGTTGTGTCCGATTTAGACTGAACTTATCGCGGACGTCCGATTTAAATTCATTCTAAATCTTATATAGATTGAACAATAATATAAACATGCTTAATATATGTTCTTAAGCGTTTTCTGTAGTTTTCTGCATTTTTCAAAGGTCTGTTACTGTCTTTTTCTGAAAAGAAAACCCAACTATGAAACAATTTATTAGCATTAACAGAATAGATGCGAAATTACAATATACAACAACAAAAAACCAACAACAACAACGAACGAGTTAAAAATTTCTATTTATTTTTGCAGCTTAGGCTATTGTGACATCTTGAATTGCAGAGTCGGCCATCCTTTTTGCACGAACATCGATTGGATGAGCATTTTTCAGCACATAAGCAATGTTTATGACCTAATGGAACACGCAACAAATGAAATAAATTTATAGTTACTTACCTCAGCAATAGCAAGGAAGTCCGTCTCACAAGGATAGAGTCACGGACGTCCGATATAGACTGTAATCTAAATCGGACGTCCGCGATAAGTTCAATCTAAATCGGACGGAAATCTAAATCGGACACAACATATATATATATATATATATATAAATCTTTTGTTATATATATCAACGAGAGATTTCGAAAATTTCAGTTGCAAAGGATCGGTCGGTTGCGAGCCGGGCAAGTGCGTTTGTGTGGACGGCTACAAAGTGGATCCGTTGAATAAAAAGAAATGCATAGGTAAAGAGCTATTGAAGATTTGCATTTATAGTTTTTTAGATGATCTAGTGATGATTAAATGATGATATTATTAGGTACATGCATAAGAAATGCGGATTTCAACATTTTCATAAATTTCCAACGATAGAAACCTGATATCGATGAATGTTTTGATGGTGAATGTTTTAAACTATTTGAAAGTTGTAAATCTCCTCTACAAAATAGGCTAAAACGTGTTTCAATTGATCGAAGCATTGAAGAAATTTCGAGGCCGAAATGCGAGTGACCAAAAAAGGAATCGAGTCACTCTAGGGACTTTACAGTAAACACTTTAGGGTTTAGTGTGGACAAACCCCACTTTCACAAGAGTCTAACGGAAATACATTTAGAAAAATTTAGAGAAATTTAGATAGAGCGTAAGTTCAAAACCCTCAAAACCGTCAAAAAAACCGGCTTTTTCACAAAAAAGAAAAATTATTGTAAAAACAAAGTTTTCTCATGAAATGATCCGAACTCTTAATTATTTTGAATGGTATTTTAGGGCGCTCATTTTCCACTATATAGTCAAAGCCGAACTCTTGTGAAAGTGGGGTTTGACCACACTAAACTTGTCCCTAAAGTGACTCGATTCCTTTTTTGGTCACTCGCATTTCGGCCTCGAAATTTCTTCAATGCTTCGATCAATTGAAACACGTTTTAGCCTATTTTGTAGAGGAGATTTACAACTTTCAAATAGTTTAAAACATTCACCATCAAAACATTCATCGATATCAGGTTTCTATCGTTGGAAATTTATGAAAATGTTGAAATCCGCATTTCTTATGCATGTAACAAGCAGCTTGTGCACCTAATAGATCTTTAAAATGGAAATTTAGTGGATCCGAATTACAAGCCGAAAGCGGTGTGCAACGACACGGCCATGTTCAAATGTTTGAGACATCAAAAGTGGGGGAATTTAAATGAATTTCCGAATTCTTAAGAATTACCTGTTATATTCTTAAGAATTACCTCTTATATTTGTTATTCAAAGCATTTTAAAGTTGTTTTTAAATGTTTAAATGTTTAGATGCATTGACAAGTCCCGACTTTGCGATGGAGAAGACGATTGCGGAGATGAGAGTGACGAGGATCCGAAGGGAGCTTGCAGTAAGGTTTTAAGAGATAAAACTTGGCCTATGTGCTTTTCTGAAGACGCATTTCTTGCGCATTCAATTACGCATTCAATTATTCATCTTACATTCATCTTACAGAAGATTTCAAATGCCAAAACGTAAAGGATTTCAAATGTGATGGTACACTTTGCATCGACGAGAAATGGGTGAGGAAACTTTTGAAGTTCTGTTCTTTTGTTTTGTTCTTTTTGCTTGAACAACTCAAATTTGACTTCTAATTCTTCTATTTTATTGATTAAAATGAAAGAGTTTTATTATATTTATTATTTAAAAAAGGTATTCAACTGTTTATATCTTTAAGAGTAGATTTTAGTTGTAGATTTTAGCTTTATCTAGCTTTCTCGAGCTTTCTCTAGCTTTATCTAGCTTTATCTAGCTTTCTCTAGCTTTCTCTAGCTTCCTCTAGCTTTCTCTAGCTTTCTCTAGCTTTATCTAGCTTTCTCTAGCTTTATCTAGCTTTCTCTAGCTTTATCTAGCTTTATCTAGCTTTATCTAGCTTTCTCTAGCTTTCTCTAGCTTCCTCTAGCTTTCTCTAGCTTTATCTAGCTTTATCTAGCTTTCTCTAGCTTTCTAGAAAAGTCCTTTCCGATTTTTTGGGAGAGTACCTTAAATTTGTCGAATTTTGACGTGTTTTAGCTCAACTTAAATAGCTCATCGTATAGCTCATCCTAAAGCTGAATTCAAGACGGATTGATTGGTAAAAACCGTTTTGAGATATCTCTTTTCTAAAAGTTTTTACAGCTATTTTAGTAAAGGGCGGCAGAGCCAAAAAAGCCAAAAAATGGCTGTTTTCACGTTTCTTTAGTTTTCCGTGCAGAAACCTAGGCTAATGATCAGATTCGTGATCAGCGTCAATAGCTTTATCTAGCTTTATCTAGCTTTATCTAGCTTTATCTAGCTTTATCTAGCTTTATCAAATATAATTCTTAGGTTTGCGATGGTCGACCCGATTGCAAAGATAAATCGGATGAAGATTCAAAAAGATGTGAAGGTGACAAAAGTCATAAAAGTCGAAAATGAAAGAATTTCAAGGAAAAGCAACCATTTGCCCGAGTAAACATTTCCAATGCGAGAAAACGAAGCGCTGCATTCCGGCCGCATGGACTTGTGACGGGCAAAGAGATTGTGGAGATGGGGATCGATCGGATGAAGTGAAAAACTATGATGGAGAGCTCTGTGCAGAAAGTTTGTGTTTTGGAGCTTGAAATTTCTCGAAAGCTAGCACACAACGACAGTAACAAAACTAGCAACAAAACCAGTAACAAAACCAGCAATAAAATCATGCAAAATCCATTCAATTTTCAGTCAAAACTCGATCCACTTATGGCTGTAAACCCTCGGAATTCTCTTGCTTAAACGGGAAATGCATTTTGATGAAATTCGTCTGCGATGGGATGCCCGATTGTCGCGATGCAAGCGATGAGCTGAACTGTGAACATGACTGTGTCCGTGGCTATCAATTCCAATGTGGTGCTGGTCAACCGTGTCTCCCAGTCAGTTTCCAGTGTGACCAAGTGGTCGATTGCCCGGATGGGAGTGACGAATCGAATGCAACATGCCGTAAGTGAAGTTTACAGGGCAAAGATCCACAATATCGCTTCACTAGCAAGGTGTTAGTCTTGCAAGCAAGGCCAGGTTAAAGCTCTGCTCTTAGAGGGAGTGACGAATCGAATGCAACATGCCGTAAGCTCTGCTCTTAGAGCTTTACTCTTAGAGTAAAGTTCTGCTACGAACTCTCCAAAGGCCCCTAGGCCCAAGTGCCCCTATGCCCCTAGGCCCAAGTGCCTCTATGCTCAAGTGCCCCTATGCCCACCGGGGGATCGAACCCCGAGGCCAGCAGCGGTCAGGCCAAAGCTCTATCACTGAGCTATGGACGCACAGGAAACCCCTCCTTCTAAGAGGCTCATAACGTACTCGTGCTCATACTCGTCCTCATACTCGTCCTCATACTCGTCCTCATACTCGTCCTCATACTCGTCCTCATACTCGTCCTCATACTCGTCCTCATACTGGGGGCTCATACTCGTGCTCATACTTGTCCTCATACTCGTGCTCATACTCGTGATCATACTCGTGACGATGAGTTTCTCTCTGGGATCCCATTACACCAGGAGTTGGATCCAGTACCAGCTACCAGATACTTTCGGGATTTCTGAGCCTGTTCTACCCGAATCTGTCCTTTATTGACTTGCCTCTTGCTTTGTAGCAATCTTGTCCACAATATCGCTTCACTAGCAAGGTCTTAGTCTTGCAAGCAAGGTCAGGTTAAAGCTCTCAAAGTTTTGCGCTCACCTCAAGAGGCCTTTCTGGTAGCTCATTACGCCAGAAAGTTAGATTCACACTTAGAATTGGCCTTTGAACAATCCCCTGGAGATTACTTTAATATTCTAGCAACTAAGGCTTCACTAGCAAGGTCTTAGTAGTCTTGCAAGCAAGGCCAGGTTAAAGCTCTCAAAGTTTTGCGCTCACAAGCAACTAAGGCTCAATCATTTCAGCCGACTCCTTTACTCAATCCATTGCAAAAGGCGGTTGTGGTGATAAAATGTTCGAATGTCTTCCGGGTTTTTGCATCCGAGAAGCTTTTGTTTGCGATGGGTCAGCGGATTGCCCGAATGGGATCGATGAGCTCAAATGTGGTAAGGGAAATTTATAAGCAATCTTTCAGCAATCTTTCAAGCAACCAATCAGTCCTCAAACAATCTCCTCACTGAGTTCTTTATTCAAAACTATTTAAATTTATCTTTAAACTTGTACCCAGATTTATTTCAGAAAAGAAACCGCTAACTTGTGCGGTGGAAAGCGAATGGAAATGTTTGGACGAGAGTCGATGCATTCCACACGCTTTTCTTTGCGATGGTTTCATCGATTGCGGCGATAAAAGCGATGAGGCGAATTGTGGTGAGAAAAATTTAGAAGGCAATTAGAAAACAAGAGGTTCTTGAAATCGGTTAGCATTGTTCAGCCTCAAAATTGAGGGAGAAGAAAGCTACTGCTTAAATAACAAAATGATTTAATAGGATCCAGAATTTGTACGAAAAAAATAGCCAAAATTGAGGCAGGAATTGATCCCAATGAATTGGGCATAGTCATGTCTAAAACGGTGGGGTGGAGAGTAGGGCCCCCAGGGTAAGTGGCAGGAATTGATCTTGTTGCCCAGTGCTTGTTGCCCAGTGCTTGTTGCCCAGTGCTTGTTGCCCAGAGCTTGTTGCCCAGACTAATTGAAATTTAACCTTGGCCAACTGACAAGTTGGGGCAGAGCGTGGGGTGGTAGGTGGGGCAGAAAGTGGGCCGGTAAGTAGCGTAGAAAGCAGCGTAGAAAGCAGCGTAGAAAGTAGCGTAGAGGGTAGCGTAGAAAGTAGCGTAGAAAGCAGCGTAGAAAGCAGCGTAGAAAGTAGCGTAGAGGGTAGCGTAGAAAGTAGCGTAGAAAGCAGCGTAGAAAGCAGCGTAGAAAGTAGCGTAGAGGGTAGCGTAGAAAGTAGCGTAGAAAGTAGCGTAGAAAGTAGCGCAGAAAGTAGCGCAGAAAGTAGCGCAGAGAGTGGGGAAAGTGTATTACGGAATCCCAAAGGAACATCTATCTATCGGGAAGGTGTACCAGATGGAGAGCGATTACGCAGCCGCACAAAGAACACTTCGCAGTCATTTACAGAGATTTCTCTTTTGCTTTGTAGCTGACCTAAAAATGAAGAGATTCAGTTGTAAATTTGTACCTGGGGGTTTTCGAGATCGGTGAATCGATTAGAGCTATTCATTTCATTGGCTCTACCTGGGTTTAATTGGTCTAAACTTTTCGAGAAACTCGGTAACTTATTAGCCTATCTTGAAGAGGAGCTTTTAAGCCTATCTTAGAGAGGAGCTTTTCTAAAAATCAGTTCCCATCTAACTGAGAAAACATCGCTGCGCCAGAAAAGATATGTTTGGAGTTAAAATATTCATTTATATTCTTTCAGCTTCATCAAAAACGGTGAACCCCCATCGGTGCATTGAGCCAAATTTCCTCTGCCGAAATGATACTCGAAATCGATGCATTAGTCCGGAAAAGGTGAGTTAGAAAAGGAAAATCTTAGGAAAACCCTTAGAAAACCTTAGAAAAACTAGTCTTCATTAAGTTTAATCTAAAGCTAATTAAGTAGTAGATAACAAAGCTTTATGGTAATCGATTTCAGGTATGCGATTTGATTCAAGATTGCCCGAATGGTGATGATGAGGGTTTACTTTGTGGGGAGAGGTTGGTTTTGAAGAGAAATTAATTGAGTTGATTGAATTGATTCAATTGATTGTGTCGTAGCCGATTATGAATGAAATTTTTTGGCAAATCTTTCTAGTAGAGCAACCCTTTAATGTATGATGACAATATTATATCATCCTGTAGCGTCTAGCCATCAAGTATTTAGTATCATCCTGTAGCGAATTGAATTCTGCGTCGATTGGTACCAAATTTGTGAGTTGAGGTTAAAAATTGCCGGCGCTACAACGTTTCATTCAAAATCGGCGCGACCCCCGTAGCCGACTATGAATGAGTGGGTCTAGGAGCGTCCAACCATCAAGTATTTAGTATCATTCAACGCAGAATCATTGATAATTATGTTAAATTTTTTAAATTAGCAAGATTTGATGAAAAGAAAAAAAATTAGAGCAAAAAAAACTGTTTGTTCAAGAGAAAACTTTGAAGCCCCATAATTTGTGTTCTTTTTATCCAATCTTTCTAATTTCAAAAATTTAACATAATTATCAATGATTCTGCGTTGAATGATACTAAATACTTGATTGGACGATGGTTGGACGCTCCTAGACCCACTCATACTCGGCCACGACTACGGCTACGGCTACATAATCGGCTGAAATTCATAATCGGCTACGACAATTGAATTGATTGAATTGATTCAATTGATTGAATTGATTCAATTGATTCAATTGATTCAATTGATTCAATTGATTCAATTGATGATCATTCTTGAAAAGTCAAAGCTTTCGATCAATCAATGCGATCAATCCAAGCAACTATCGTTTACAATATTATAGAATGTGTCGTCGTGGCTCTCTCTGTGATCACAAATGTTTCGATCGTCCCACCGGTTATGTGTGCTCGTGTGAGGATGGATATGCGTTGGATAGTGATGGGAAGACTTGTAAAAGTGAGGAAAATGGCATTTAGATGAAATGCGGGCATTCTGGAAGGATTCGGGTTTAATCTGGAATGATTTTATTGATTTTAATAAGATTTTATTAAGATATTATTAAGATAAAAGCGTTGAGAGTTCAAATTGTCATTTCTGACTTTCAAATGATATCAAATTAAGCTAGAATATTCAGAAATTCGAGAAAATCAAGAGACTCATGAGTTGAATTTGGTCAGTGATTGCCTTTACTCTATAACTGAGTTTTCTTCTTACAAGGGAACCTTCCCAAGTTACCCGCGAGTTACAATATGATGTAGGTGCCAAAAGAAAGGCCAGAAAATGTACGTTCAGAAACTGTTTTCAAAAACTGTTAACCGGCAAAACGCACAATGTTATAGCCATTTGAATTTCGAAAAAATGAAGGCTTTTCTCGAATCGAGGCTTTTCGCGAAAGGAAAGCCTTTCCGTCAGCAAAAATCAGTGTGCCAGAAATTCGAGAAAAGCCTTCATTTTTTCGAAATTCAAATGGCTATAACTTTGTGCGTTTTGCCGGTTAACGGTTTTTGAAAACAGTTTCTGAACGTACATTTTCTGGCCTTTCTTTTGGCACCTACATCATATTGGTAGGTTTTGCACCTACCTTTTAACTCGCGGGTAACTTGGGAAGGTTCCCTGGTAAGCTTGAAGATGAGCCTTTATCGAACTCATTGTCTGGACTTGCTGCTTGTCTGAACTTGCTGCTTGTCTGGACCTGCTTTGTTTGGACTTGCTCTTGTCTGAACTTGCTGCTTGTCTGGACCTGCTGCAAACTTTAAGGAGAATTAGAGTGAAACGGCGAAATGTGCGTTATCGTTTTCGAGCTGTTTTGCGAGAAAAACTTTGGTTTTCACTTTAGTTTTCGAGAAAAATTTTCATATAATCTTTATTAACATAAAAATCCTTATTAACAAATTCCTCAGTCTTTTTCTGAGTTCAAAAATATGATATACAAGATTAGGGAACTTGTGTTTACGTTAGAATGAATGGGATCCAAAGACAGCCTCGAATTCGCCTAATTATCATTTGTTTCAATGCGTTTATCAACAAGTGATTTAATGAACAAACGGAAAAAAAATATTCTTTTCAAATTCAAAGGGAGAATCAAAAATGCAATAGAAATCTCTTGCCATTAATATAAAAAGCATTTAAAAAGCATTGAAGAGGCTAGTTGCTCACGAAAACATAGTAATGTGTGAAAACAAGGGAAAACAAGGGAATCGAGGCTTTTCGCGAAAGGAAAGCCTTTCCGTCAGCAAAAACAGTGTGCCAGAAATTCGAGAAAAGCCTTCATTTTTTGCGAAATTCAAATGGCTATAACTTTGTGCGTTTTGCCGGTTAACGGTTTTTGAAAACAGTTTCTGAACGTACATTTTCTGGCCTTTCTTTTGGCACCTACATCATATTGTAACTCGCGGGTGACTTGGGAAGGTTCCCTTGTAAGAAGAAAACTCAGTTATAGAGTAAAGGCAATCACTGACCAAATTCAACTCATGAGTCTCTTGATTTTCTCGAATTTCTGAATATTCTAGCTTAATTTGGCAATCTCTAACCTGAAACAAATTTTACTTTTTTACTTTTTCCAAATTTGATAAGGATTCTAATGAAAGCAACCGTGAGTCGATTCGGCTACTTGGCCACTTGGAATTGGCTTTGATTTTGTGACAGGTAGAGCCAGGTAGAAAAAAAGGGATGGGAAGATGGATAAAAGTGAGGAAAAACGCTCTTGGCGCTCTTGGAAAAACGCTCTTGGCTAAAATCTGAAGCTTTTTTTGAAGAAAACCGGCACCTTTCTTCAATAAAACAATTAAAAAATGTAAAAGTTATTAAAGATTTAAACATTTAAACATTTATTAAACATTTAAAAGTGATTAACCCACAACAAATTTAAAAAACATAAACTCTCAACAAAGTTATGAAGCTTTAAAGCATAACAATTCATTCAAGATCCCGGATTTTTCCTAAATTTCCTAAACTGAAAAACGAATCTCACAGAAAATAGGAATTTCAGTTAAAAATTAATATTGAATTCTTTCGATTATTTAGAAACATTTAGAAAAAGATTCCTGTTCTTTCGGCGCCTGTTCCCAGCTCTGTGAGCCACATGGAGCTTTACCGTATTGCTATTGCGAGGCTGGATACGAGATCAAAAGTGATCTGTGGGTTTTTAAACAATGAACCCGTAAATAATGAACAACGAACTAGGCTAAAAGCTATAGTAAATAACTTCAAAGCTATGGTATTTGTTGTAATTTTTTCTTAATTGGCTTCAATAATATGTCTTAATAGAATTCTGGGTCTTCCCAAAAATCCAGACTTTTGAGAAAAGGGTCTTTTGAAAGAAGTCGGGGTCTTTTGAAAGAAATCGGGGTCTTTTGAAAAAATCGGGGTCTTTTGTAAAAATCGGGGTCTTTTGAGAAAATCGGGGTCTTTTGTAAAAAATCGGGGTCTTTTGAAAGAAATCGGGGTCTTTTGTAAAAAATCGGGGTCTTTTGTAAAAAATCGGGGTCTTTTGAAAGAAATCGGGGTCTTTTGAAAGAAATCGGGGTCTTTTGAAAGAAATCGGGGTCTTTTGAAAGAAATCGGGGTCTTTTGAAAGAAATCGGGGTCTTTTGAAAGAAATCGGGGTCTTTTGTAAAAAATCGGGGTCTTTTGAAAGAAATCGGGGTCTTTTGAAAGAAATCGGGGTCTTTTGACAGAAATCGGGGTCTTTTGAAAGAAATCGGGGTCTTTTGTAAAAAATCGGGGTTTTTTGTAAAAAATCGGGGTCTTTTGAAAGAAATCGGGGTCTTTTGACACAATATGAGTCTTTTCAAGCTATCATATGCAAAACCCAGGCCAATTGGATTCTCTTGATTTGATTTGATTGGATTGGGAAATTTGATTAGACTTTTCTTGGGCAAATGGTTAAATTTCAATTAGAAATCACTCATTTGTAAAGCTTGAAATCCAACAATTTGCTCTCGAAAACCCAGAAAATTTGAAAAATACAAATCTCTTAAGAAAATGGATTCTTTCTTAAGAATTTGCTTTTAGTTTCTCATGCAAAATCAGCGAAACCTCAGCCCGTCCCTCTTTTATTTACACGAATCGGCACGAGATTCGAATGCTGTCGTTTGGGAGTTCGCAATCGATTCCACTCACATCAACGATGCGAAATGCGATTGCGTTAGATTATTATTATGAAGTTGGTACCTAATATTAGGTTGATGCAAAAGTCTTTTTCATTTTTTTCGTACTTCCGTTAAAAAGTAACAAATACACCAATTGAACAACGGTTTATTGCATTCGAAAGGCCAATTATTTTTCTGCAAAATGACATTAAAACGAGTTTAAAATGTGTTATGTCTAGATTTTTTTGAGAGCCTGAAGTCGGGTAGTCAAAAAAGGCGACGGCTCGATGATGCATTTTAGACGCTTTAGCTAAGGAAACCAATCTTAATGTTACTAAATAAAAGATAGAGCACAAAAAGTTAAATATTTTTTCAGATTTTCAGAGAAATTGATTCAGCCAATTTCTTTATAGAGGTTTTTATAGATTTGTTATGAAAAACCCGTTTTCACTCTCGAATTTGCTTGAAAGTGAACCCAAATTGACTTAAAAAGATGGGAAATTCAACAATAAACACTTTTCATTTAGAGCAAACCATAGATTAATTGATGACTTTGTTATTTTTCAAACGAAGTACGAAAAAAATGAAAAAGACTTTTGCATCAACCTAATAGATAATGACAATGACAACAATGACAATGACAACAATGACAATGACAACAATGACAATGACAACAATGACAACAATGACAATGACAACAATGACAACAATGACAATGATCGTTTTGATTTTAGGATGACGACAACATCACAATTTTTTGGACTGATATCGCTAATGACATGATCTATCGAGGAGAATTAATCAAAAAAGGTTAGCAAGGCCAGGAATCAAAGGAATCAGAGGCCAGGCTTTGGTTTGAAGATGGCTCCAGGAATTCTTTCTCTTTCTTCCTTTCTCTTTCTTCCTTTCTCTTCCTCCTTGTATTTCCTCTTTTTCCTCTGGTAAGAAGATATCGGATAGCTCAGTGGTTGGAGGAGTTGCTTGGAAAGTGAAAAAATCGAGAGGAAGATCGAGAGGAAGATCAAGAGGAAGATCGAGAGGAAGTGGAGGGTTCAATCCTCTCTCCAGAAATCTTTCTTTCCTTCCTTTACTAGCCATGACATTCTGCTCTTGAACCTTTTTCAAGGCAACATTAAGGGATGGGATTGATTCTGGGACTCTCACGTCAATCAAACATAATCTAGACAACATCTAGTCAGACCTACTCTTTCAAAAGATAAGCCAAATCAATCCAATCAGGCCAATCCAATCAATTCCCAGACAATAAATCAATTCCCAGGTCCGTCCTTTCTTTTTTTCCATTATCTTTTTCTTTTTCCCATTACAAATCTAATTTTTATCTTGAATTTCTTCACAATTTTGGTATTAAATTAGTTGTCTTTTGTCGATTGATTATTTCGACAATTGTATGCCAAGATATTACCGTAAATACTGTAATAGTACCCCAGCCTCATAATGACGACCGGAGCATCGCGTAGTCTAGCTTTGAACGAGTTTTTCTCGACACTGGTTTATGCTACAATGCTCGCTTAGATATCAAAAAATAGCTGAAATCCAGGGCTATTTTTTGATACCAAAGACGCACTTTTTGAAAGTACGGGCGCTTTGAAAAACAATGAAATACTAAAAAACATTTGCGACTACGCAACTGTACGAGGGCGGTGGGGTACTATTACAGTACGGTAGTTAGATTGATAATAGTAAAAAGGGAAGAACAGTCTATTGTCTGGGAATCGATTAGCTTGTCTTTATCTTTTCAAGAACAGAACTGACTACGATTTGTTGAATTGTGCGTGATTGTGAAATTTCTCTCATTAACTATCTAGCTTTAACCATAAACACTAACACATTTAGTACTTGTCAACATTCATCCTGTGATTCGACACGGTTTATGGACGGCTGAGGGTCTGGCTGTGGATTGGTTAGGGAAGAATATTTACTGGGTCGACAGTTTTCTCGATCAGATCGAGGTCAGATCAGTAAACATTTAATGCTAATTTTATCTAGTATTATTCTCACAGCACTAATTCTTCAGGCTAGAAGAACCTGTTATCAAAAAAGCCCTTTTAGGTAGCCAAATTCGATGGCTCAATGCGAGCGACGGTGCTCCGCGGAAACATGTCCAATCTCCGATCGCTGTCATTGGATCCAAAGTGAGATCAGACACATTAGATCTTTAATAAGATTGTTTTTTATATTCTTTCCCTAGCTTTAAATAGTTCCTGTTAATCTGTAGATTTTTCTTTTAGAAGTGGTTTAATGTTCTGGACAGATTGGGAAGAAACAAGACCGAGAATCGAAAGAGCGACAATGGCCGGCGAGGATCGAAAAGTCATTTTTGAGGTTTGAAAATCTAAAATAATGGTCTAATGTTCTAAAATAATAAATAAAATAAGAAATTCTTTGCTTAAGAGAAAGCAAAATGAAGAATATCGTGAAAGGCAGAGCATGAAAGGCAAATTTAGGTGAAAGGCGTGGTGACTGGAGGATGGCCGAACGGGATCACGTGCGATTTGACTGCGCAAAGGATTTACTGGCTTGACGCAAAGTGAGTTTTGAATAAATAAGAGAGTTTTGAATCGAGAAGTAATCAATTTTAGATCGGACAGCATTCACACGATCACCTATGACGGAACTGATCACATCGAGGTGTTGCGAGATAGCAGTCATTTAGCTCATCCGTTCTCGGTGGCTCTTTTCGAATCGCATGTCTATTGGACTGATTGGAGGATTATGGCTATTGTCAGGGTAAGGTTTTATGCAAAAGAATTTTACAGGTTGACTGCGAAACTGGTTAACTGCGGTGCCACTTTTTTTTGAAAAAGTTGCTGACAAATTGTCAAAAATAGCGGAGAGAGGCCAACTTGAGCTCATTCAAGAGCTTGTAAAATCATTTATACAATTCCAATCGAGAATTTCTTTATGGAGAAATGATGCCAAGATTCAGGGCTTTATTTTTCTATATAACACTTGGCACTTTGGTGATCGGTTAGGCGTTTGCAAGCAACTTTTCCAAAAAAGGTGATCGCCATAATTTCGTGATCACTGTTACTGTTGGACTTTGTTGCACTTTCCGGGTAAACACACCCTTTCTGGCACACTTAATCCATGGTTCATGGGCATTCTAAAGGTCACTGGAGAGAAATGCACGACTAGACTCACTCGGTGGATCTAAAACGGATTTAAAATGATCTAAAATGATCTAGAACGGATCTAAAATGATCTAAAATGATCTAGAACGGATCTAAAATGATCTAAAACGATCTAAAATGGATCTAAAATGATCTAAAATGATCTAGAACGGATCTAAAATGATCTAAAATGATCTAAAACGATCTAGAACGGATCTAAAATGATCTAAAATGATCTAGAACGGATCTAAAATGATCTAAAACGATCTAAAATGGATCTAAAATGATCTAAAATGATCTAGAACGGATCTAAAATGATCTAAAATGATCTAAAACGATCTAGAACGGATCTAAAATGATCTAAAATGATCTAGAACGGATCTAAAATGATCTAAAACGATCTAAAATGAATCTAAAATGATCTAAAATGATCTAGAACGGATCTAAAATGATCTAAAATGATCTAAAATGATCTAAAATGATCTAGAACGGATCTAAAATGATCTAAAATGATCTAAAATGATCTAAAATGATCTAGAACGGATCTAAAATGATCTAAAACGATCTAAAATGGATCTAAAATGATCTAAAATGATCTAGAACGGATCTAAAATGATCTAAAATGATCTAAAATGATCTAGAACGGATCTAAAATGATCTAAAATGATCTAAAATGATCTAGAACGGATCTAAAATGATCTAAAATGATCTAGAACGGATCTAAAATGATCTAAAACGATCTAAAATGGATCTAAAATGATCTAAAATGATCTAGAACGGATCTAAAATGATCTAAAATGATCTAAAACGATCTAGAACGGATCTAAAATGATCTAAAATGATCTAGAACGGATCTAAAATGATCTAAAACGATCTAAAATGAATCTAAAATGATCTAAAATGATCTAGAACGGATCTAAAATGATCTAAAATGATCTAAAATGATCTAAAATGATCTAGAACGGATCTAAAATGATCTAAAACGATCTAAAATGGATCTAAAATGATCTAAAATGATCTAGAACGGATCTAAAATGATCTAAAATGATCTAAAATGATCTAGAACGGATCTAAAATGATCTAAAATGATCTAAAATGATCTAGAACGGATCTAAAATGATCTAAAATGATCTAAAATGATCTAGAACGGATCTAAAATGATCTAAAACGATCTAAAATGGATCTAAAATGATCTAAAATGATCTAGAACGGATCTAAAATGATCTAAAATGATCTAAAATGATCTAGAACGGATCTAAAATGATCTAAAATGATCTAAAATGATCTAGAACGGATCTAAAATGATCTAAAACGATCTAAAATGGATCTAAAATGATCTAAAATGATCTAGAACGGATCTAAAATGATCTAAAGCGATCTAAAATGGATCTAAAATGATCTAAAATGATCTAGAACGGATCTAAAATGATCTAAAATGATCTAGAACGGATCTAAAATGATCTAAAATGATCTAAAATGATCTAGAACGGATCTAAAATGATCTAAAACGATCTAAAATGGATCTAAAATGATCTAAAATGATCTAGAACGGATCTAAAATGATCTAAAATGATCTAGAACGGATCTAAAATGATCTAAAATGATCTAGAACGGATCTAAAATGATCTAAAATGATCTAGAACGGATCTAAAATGATCTAAAACGATCTAAAATGGATCTAAAATGATCTAAAATGATCTAGAACGGATCTAAAATGATCTAAAATGATCTAGAACGGATCTAAAATGATCTAAAATGATCTAGAACGGATCTAAAATGATCTAAAATGATCTAGAACGGATCTAAAATGATCTAAAACGATCTAAAATGGATCTAAAATGATCTAAAATGATCTAGAACGGATCTAAAATGATCTAAAATGATCTAGAACGGATCTAAAATGATCTAAAATGATCTAGAACGGATCTAAAATGATCTAAAACGATCTAAAATGGATCTAAAATGATCTAGAACGGATCTAAAATGATCTAAAATGATCTAGAACGGATCTAAAATGATCTAAAATGATCTAGAACGGATCTAAAATGATCTAAAACGATCTAAAATGGATCTAAAATGATCTAGAACGGATCTAAAATGATCTAAAATGGATCTAAAATGATCTAGAACGGATCTAAAATGATCTAGAACGGATCTAAAATGATCTAAAACGATCTAAAATGGATCTAAAATGATCTAGAACGGATCTAAAATGATCTAAAACGATCTAAAATGGATCTAAAATGATCTAGAACGGATCTAAAATGATCTAAAATGATCTAGAACGGATCTAAAATGATCTAAAATGATCTAGAACGGATCTAAAATGATCTAAAACGATCTAAAATGGATCTAAAATGATCTAAAATGATCTAGAACGGATCTAAAATGATCTAAAATGATCTAAAACGATCTACCCGATCTAAAAGATTTGTTAACTAAATCAACAACGTTTGTAATTCTCGTGTGCCGTTTATTATGTCTTTTTGATTTTAAATGTCTTTCAAAATTTAGGCCAACAAATGGAATGGAACCAAAGTGCAAATCGTCGAGTCGACTTTCACGCAACCATTTGATCTGAAGATCGTTCATCGACTGAAACAACCCAGGTATTCGATTTTTTTCCCGATAGTTCATTGGTAGAGTTTCTATCTGTAAAACAAAAGGTTTGGTTCCTTTCGTTGCCTTTTTCTTTCTTTAGCATTTCCTTCTTTGTCAATGTATTATTGCTGTCAATCTGTTATTGCTTTCAGAAGCATAAAAACGGGACCTTGTTGGCCGAAAAGCGACTGTTCACACATTTGCCTTATTAATGGGAAAATTGGAAGCAAGTGGGATAAGTTTATAAAGAAATACAAATAGGATTTCAAGCCTAATAAGTGAATATTCAAAAATGTGGAAATATTTACAGGTGTGCTTGTCCGCAAATGATGCGCCTCAAAGCCGATAATAAGACGTGTGAAGGTGAGTTCGAGCATAAATTTGATGCGTACTTTGATGCGAATTTGATGCGTGCTAAATTCCAAGATGCCTTTGTCTGGCGCACTGGATTCATTCATTTTCTAGAAAAGCGCTACAGCATCACGAGAAATTAACGAATCCAGTGCACTAGAAGGGATGCGTTTAGTAATTTTGAGCACAGAGTACAATCTGGCTGAAAAGCGAAGGTCAACTGGTTGTGAAAACTGTCAAATGCTATGTGACCTATACCATTCGACGCAGAATTTTATGCTGATTCCGAATATCTATTCCGTTTTTGCTAAATGACAATCTGTCAGGAGTTATAAGTGTCTAAAGTTTTGTTAGGACTTTGAATCTTTATTAAATGTGGTCGTTTGGGTCTTAGCGGTCTCTTTCAAGACATCTTTTGCTGCAGCCGTGGCCGAGTGGTAGAGCTTTCGTTTCCAGAGCGAGACCACACAAGTTCGGTTCCTACTTTGGATTTTTCTTTGGCTTCTCTTTTCTTCTAGAAATATGCGCTAGTTAGCAATTCTTGAGAAAAAGCAAAAGACAAAACCAAAGTGGGGATCGAACCTGTGTGGTATCGCTCTGAAAACGAAAGCTCTACCACTCGGCCACGGCTGCAGCAAAACAGGTCCTCAAAGAGACCGCTAAGACCCAAACGACCACATTTAATGAAGATTCAAATTCAAAGCCCTAACAAAATTTTAGACGCAACTCCTGAAAGATTGTCATTTAGCAAAAAAGGAGAGCACTAAATTAGATCCACGAGGAGGCCGCTATGACGCAAATGACTACATTTTCAGAGTCCTAACAAAACTTTAGCTCTTGGAAGATTGTCATTTAGCAAAAACGGAATAGATATTCGGAATCAGCATAAAATTCTGCGTCGAATAGTATAGAATTTGAGCCGGCTCAGCCAATTGGTCAATTGGTCAATTGGCTGAGCCGGCCCAAATTCCCTTGTTAGTCAGCAACTGAAGATAAAATAAAATAAGTTTACCAATCAATTTTAGGCATTGAACAAACGCTTTTCATTTCATCAAACGGATCTGTTTGGGCGATTGATCTCGATCCACCGAACGACCCAGTATTTCCAATAATCGGAATGAGGGGACACGATGGTATGTGTAAATAAAATCTCATATTATTTTAGTGTGCTAAAAATAGAGAATGTTCAAGAATTACGGGCACTTTTTCTCTAGTTCGTAGCTTAATCGTTCCACATCCTTTTTTTGGTAGAATTTACTGTTTATTTTCAACATTTTACTTCAATACTTTACTCAGAAAGTCAAAATTAGCAATTCTATAAAGCTTTAAATCTTCAAAACTCGAGAACCTCTGGGATGCGGCTCCTTGTGACCAAATTTTGAATATAAATACCGTAAATACTGTAATAGTACCCCACCCCCATCGTACAGTCGCGTAGTCGCAAAAGTTTTTTAGTATTTCATTGTTTTTCAAAGCGTCCGTACTTTCAAAAAATGCATCTTTGGTATCAAAAAATAGCCCTGGATTTCAGCTATTTTTTTGATACCTCAGCGAGCATTGTAGCATAAACCAGTGTCGAGAAAAACTCGTTCAAAGTTAGACTACGCGATGCTCCGGCCGTCATTATAAACTGATGACGAGAAAAATGCGTTTAAAGTTAGGCTACGTGATGCTCCGTCTTTTAATATCAAAAAATAGCCCTGAATTTCAGCTATTTTTTGATACCTCAGCGAGCATTGTAGCATAAACCGGTGTCGAGAAAAACTCGTTCAAAGTTAGACTACGCGATGCTCCGGCCGTCATTATGGAGCTGGGGTACTATTACAGTATTTACAGTAATTATTATTCAAAAAAGTAGGTTTTCTAAAATAATTTACTTATTTACAAATGTTTCATCCATCCATAGTTATTAAAGTAATTCTAGAGAACCATTAGAATTACTGCCTGTAATTCTTGAAAACCCTGCAGATTCACGATCATTTTTCGTTTTCTAAAAGGTGGCTAATTTGGCAAAGCTACCGTAATCTTTCTTTCAGATTTTTCCATTCTACTTTAATTCCAAATTAATTGCTGATCCAACTCTATTCAAATCCGTTTTACTTTCTGATCTCATTCAACGATAAATCAAACTGTGAATAGAATTCGATCAGAGTTAGAATGGACAAAAATTAAAGGAAAGATTGATTACTTTAGTGCTTCCAGTGATCCACATTTTAGCAAAGGCTTTAGCAAAGCTCGAAAAACACTCTCTAGTTACAATATCTTTATGAAAAGTCAAAGCTATTCAGTAAAAGCAAAGTCAAAGCAAGAGCAAAGCAAAATCAAAGCATTAAGCAAAGCTAAATCCAGCAGAAGCAGAACTTTGAATCAATGACTTGCTTGGATTTGCCTTTTAGCTTTTTTGCCAAGTCTATTACATTAATTTAGCGATCAAATCGATGAGCTCTGGTCAAGAAGCGGTTTATTACGCGGACACACGACGCAAAGCGATCTTCCGTGTGCCACTGCGTGCAAACGAGAGCGAAAGAACGATTTGGAATGGCGGAGAAATCGAGCAACCGACTTCACTAATATCCATTCAATCTCTGAAGCTAATCTATTTCATCACAAAGAAAGATCACAGCTATCAACTCTCCGTCAGCAATTCCACTGGTCATTTCCGAAGAACATTGCTCGTTTCAGAGCCCTGTTTATCTAATGCATCGAATTTGTTATTCGATTCAGAGAAAAGTTTACTCTATTGGTCAACATCCACAAATTCTATTCTATCCATCTGCAGTTCAAATCTAAAAGGAGAGAACTTAAAAAGAAACGAAATTGGCCAAAATCCGATCACTAGCTCGTTAATTTTCGCAAAATCGGTCATTTGCTGGATTGCTGTTCAGAAGATTCAATGTTTTAATGTGAATTCGCAAAAGCTAAGCTCTTACGAGTTGACGAGTTATAGTACTCAAAATGCGACAGCTTTAGCCTACGATTTATCCAATTCACGTTTACTGGTGGCTTTTGGACGATCAATACTAGCTTTCACAGGGTTGGGAAGCCAAAAATTGACCAAAGATCGGAATTTCGAAACGATTTTGGCACCAATCAACAATGCAAGCAAAATCGGGATTGAGATGTTGTTGATTCATGAAAATTTGGATATTGGAAACCTATGTGATTCGATGAAATGTGAACATCTTTGTGTTAAAATAAACGAGAAAGCTGAATGCCTTTGTGCGCAGGGATTCACAGAAAAGGGAAACAAATGCGAGCCATCGATGAGAAATCTCCTATTCGTGACAGATAATTATCAACTGAGATCGTTAAATCTTGAAGATCAAGTGGAAGTGATTGCTGTGCCGGCGCCGATCATCGCTAGGAAAATCAATCAAGTGGTGGCTGACGGGAAGAGGGATTTGGTGGGTGATTTTCCTTTGCTAATTCGTTTTCTAAATTAGGTGCCAAGAGGAAGACACTTTGATTTTGATACACATTCTAATATGCAAAGTAGATAGCATTTTTTTTGACTGAATACTTTTATTCCGGGTGAATTTTTGCGATTTTTAACTGAATACCGTATTTCTTCGAATAGGAGACCGGGTAAAAGTATCATCGCGTTCTTTGCGTAGCGCCCTTTTAAAATTTCTTTTCTGCAGCTTTCAATCAAGTGCTATAGGGCTGGAAAATGACTCAAAAATACCACATGAGCTAACAGATTTTTGAGCCATTTTCCAGCTCTATAGCACTTCATTGAAAGCTTTTATGCAGGAAAGAAATTTTAAAAACGGCTGCTACGCAGGAGTACGCGATGATACTCTTTACCCGGTCTTCTATTTGAAGAAATACGGTACCTTTAGTCAGCAAACCTTAGAGAATGATCTTTGAGTAAAGAAATTTGTGTACTTTGTGTTCATAAACGCGCCCTTTCTAGTGCATTGAATTCCCATTTTTCTCGCAACAACAGTCTTGAAAAGATGAAAAACTCAGTGCATCAGAAAGAGTGTGTTTACAAAATTTAAGCACAAAGCACACCTGTACTCATAAAGTATCGTTTCGAAACTTTCCTTTATATTTTCATCTTATAGCAAGTCACTAAAATATAATAGACAACGATAAAAAGAATATTAAAACACAAAAAAATGAGTAGTAATGCTTTATACATGGATAGGCTTTTTTGCGCAACTGGGTCATTTGCGCAACTGGATCATTTGCGCAACTAGGTCTTTTGGTTGCGCAACTCGCCATAACTTTCTTCTAAGTGGACCAATCTTTATGATGTTGGTTTCATTTTGTAGATCTCAATAAGTGTAACAAAATGAAACCAACATCATAAAGATTGGTCCACTTAGAAGAAAGTTATGGCGAGCTGCGCAAACGACTCAGTTGCGCAAATAAAATGGCGGAAATTAGCCTACCCCTTATACATTGTTTAAAACTATGTCAAATGCTGCGCGCACGTAATTTTCAGGCACCGTGTAAAGTATCCAGACAAGGTTGCATATCTTTTATCATAAGTTCTAGAATCTGTTCAATCTCTTGTCTGAATATTTGTATCGGAATACTGCACTAAACTTTACAATGTCCAAATCAACAGTAAACTTTCAGATCTACGTGTTTGCCGGTGAGCGCAATGAGCTGTGGAGAATTGAGCGCGGCTCCTCGTCAGCTCGAATGATTCTCAGTGCGGGTGTGGCTCGTTTCACCGCGATTGCCGTTGAGCCAATCTCTGGATTGATTTTCGCAAGCATGAGACTCTCCTCAAACACCGGATTGATTCAAGTGATCCATCCCGAGAACGGCACCTCATTGGTACTAGTGAGAGACGAGGAAAGAGCGCCAACGAATGTCCACGTTGATGCATCGCAGGGAGCTGGGTGAGGGAAAATGTTTAATTTGTTTAAAATCTACATTTTAGATACATTTTCTGGATCTCGAAAGATTCTGTGAAACGGTCAAAGCTCGATGGAACCGAGGTGGCGACGGTTGTCCGAAAAGTTGTTGTACGAATTGTGTTGGACGTGAAAGGACAACGTTTATGCTATGTGGATGCCGAGAAGAGCTCGCTTGATTGCTGTGATTATGATGGACGGAAAGAGGAGGTTTGATTTGATTAGATTTGAAATTTGTTTGTTTGTTTGTTTTGTTTTTGTTGAAATACACTGTGGTGCAAAAGTCTTGTCCCACTTACTTTTCTAAAAAGTTTCATCAATTTTCTTTGATAAAGTTCATGGCGCTCTTTAAGCCATTAATAGTTTTAGTTACACAAATATATGTACAATTTATTTACACAAACGTTATCGCTATACAACACTTATTCATTGAGAAAAAAATATAATTGTCAAAACACCCCTGAAAATCGTGGTGCAAAAATCTTTTCACACAAAATGAAATTAAGCTTTAATCAACATTTAGTCGCTCCTCCTTTTGCCAAAAGTACTTCTTTAATACGAGTAGGCATCGATGCAATTAATTCATCAAGAATTCCAGGTCCAATCGTCCTCCAAATTTTTCTGATGTAAACTATTAATGGCTTAAAGAGCGTCATGAACTTTATCAAAGAAAATTGATGAAACTTTTTAGAAAATTAAGTGGGACAAGACTTTTGCACCACAGTGTATTTGTTGAAGATTGAACCGTAAATCCTTTATTCTAATCCTTTATTGAAATTTCCAGAAAAACCTTGCCACCTTTGCACCACAAGGCATAAATGCACGGATCGCTGTCGACATTTCTGGAGATCAGTTCGTCATTTTCGATAAGGGAAAAGCGAATGGGACTGTGATTGTTCACGAGAGGAGTGGTGCCGGGAATTTTGTACTGAAAAGAGTGATTCCAATGGGGAAAATGCGGCTGATTGACGTGAATCTTTACGACAAGACAGTGCCAGGTAAGTTCGATTTTTTATTTTCAAATCTGAGTTTTTTAGTGCCAACTAACGACTGCTCCAAATCGAACTGTGCCCAGCTGTGCCTCTACACACAGACGCCCACTTGTCAATGCTGGAAAGGAGTGGTGAATGTAAAAGATGGGCTGTGTCAAGGTAAAAATGGTTTTTCCAATTTTACACTATCCATTTTAGACCCAAATGCCTTCTTGGTCTTTTCCCGATCTCGATCGATTCTTTTCCTGCAAATCGAGAATTCCTTAGTCGACAGTGGATATCCGAAGATGGCTCATGATCCAATCTCTGATCCATCTTTGGTTCGAAACGCTATTGCTGTTGTCGTCGATCAGGACAGGTTAGCACTCTTTTTCTTGACCTTTAAAAAATCCTTTAGATCTCAAATCTTCTACTCCGATGCGCAAACTCGAAAAGTGCTCACCAGTGCATTGGACGGCTCAAATGCGTATCCAATTGTTGAAGGTAAGCAAACATTTTGTTAATTTCAAATAAGAACCCTAAAGAGGTAGCTTTTTGGTACTATGGTAGCTTTTTGAGCGCATTTTATAGAAAACTTTTAGATATCGGAAGTGTGGAGGGCGTTTCTCTTGACTCAGTCAATCGATATCTTTATTTCACCACCGGTGTCCCGCCCGCGATTTGGCGAGTTTCCGTCGTTGAAGCCGATCCGGCCACCTATCCAAAGCGACCAGAGGTACATTTTACTAAATTTGAGTAAAAAAGTAAATGATAGCATGCAGTTTTTGCTATAGAATAGCAGAAAGTTCCTTATGTGTAAGAGTAGCAAATTTGATAGAAATTAGATAGCCAAATACAGGATTGAGCAAAATTATCCGGACAACTTTTTGAAAAAGTACGTGTTGCACGCTTAATTTGTTTTAAAATGTCAAGTGTTATGTAGAGAATTGTAGGCCTTAATCTTGGCTACGTTTATCTACTAAAAACTCCACAATCGGAGTTATGCAGCTTATTTTACAAGTCCTTGAATGAGCACTTGTCGATCCCCATCCGGCGCGCTGCCATTTTTGACGATTTTCTACATTAAAAAAATTGTTGACAGTTATCTTTAATAGAGCTTTAAACCTAGTCGACTGGTCCTCATAGATATTGAACACCCTGTTTTATGCAGTGTTATTCTTTTATTGATTTATCTAGCTAATAATTGATTGATTTAATAGATTTCATATTATTTTACAGATCTTTTTATTGATAGATTTCCTATTATTCTGCAGATCTTTTGATTCATTCAGCTTTCAGCTTCTCATCATGCTCTCGATCGAGGATAAACCGCGTGGAATCGCTGTTCATCCCTGCCGAATGTTGATCTTTTTCACGAATTGGCAACTCCAACGACCGGCCATTGAACGAGTCTACTACAGTGGATATGATCGGGTAAAAATTTGACTTTACGGCTATTCGGTTATATTCAATTTTCTGAAGTTTTTAGCTGTTGAATGCTAGAAATAACTGAAATATAAGGTTTCCAACTTTTTAGCTTGCCTTTTTTTGCCATACTTTTATGATAACAATACTTTTCTGATATGGTAAAGCTAACAAAACTGTATTTAAAACTAATAAAAAACAAACAATTCAACATTGATGGAAAGATAGAAAGACTCAACGAAATGAAGAAAGCAGAATATATTAAACTTTGTATTAAGCTATATATTAAGCTATGTATCAAGCTAAAAAGTTTGAAACCTTATATTTTAGTTATTTCTATCATTTAGCAGCTAAAAAACTTTGGAAAATTCTTATTTTATTATGCTTTTTTACCTCTTGTGATTTTAAAGTCGATCTGAGATGGTGAGTAGTTAGAGCTTTTTCGTCAGATTCAAACTTATTGTCTGCAGAAAGTTATCTTCAGGCTAAAATTAACTAAAAATGGTATTTAAGCTATTTAAGCTAGCTAAGGTATTTAAGCTTAAGAATAGAACTGGATAGCATCAAGAATTAAATTATAGTTAAGAATTCAGGTCAGAAAATTTCAGAAACGAATCATCGAGACCGATCTCGTCACCCCGAATGGGATCACCATCGACTTTTCCGCTGAGAAGTTGTACTTCACCGAAGCGGAGACGGGATCGATTCAGCGATCCGATTTGGATGGATCGTTTAGAGAAGTAAAAAGAAGATAATTAGCCGAAGCTCAAATATTTTAGACAATTGTTTCAACGATTAATGCGACAACACCGAAAAACGCTACTGGTACAAAAACAAATCACAAAACATCTCATCCATTTGCGTTGGCGATTTTCGAGAACACGATTTACTATTCGGATTGGGTTCAGAGGTTTGTTGATCAGAATTTTGACTTGATCTTAGCCTTACCTGGCTTTAGCTGGTTCGGAACAACTCTGTCTAGATATACTTTGCTCTCGGAAACGTAAACACCTTTCTAGTGTATTCAAATTTTCATTCTCTCTCAGAATATTATAACTGGATTTGCCAGAAAGTTTTTGTTTTGAGTTTTTGAGTCCAAAGTATGTCCAAAAGAATCTTAGGTTAAACAAAAGTTCGTTTGTAAAGAAATACAAATTTTGTACATTTTAGAGCGGTGGTCGCTGTCAACAAGTTGAGCGGTGAAAATCGTCGAATCGTCTATCAGAATATGTCCGATCAACCGATGGGAATCGATGTTTGGAACACGAACAAAGAACCACTGTGCAGCAGTGATCCATGTTTGACAGCGAATCTGAAATGCGGTGATTTCTGTCGATTGTCGGCGAGTGGGGAACCACATTGTGCTTGCAATGGAGAGAGGACGATGAATGCGGACAATAGGACTTGCTTGGGAGGTGAGAGACTTTGAAATGGTTTTTGGCTTTCGATAGGCTCTAGGTGAGAATGTGAAAGCTTTAAGGAAGGACTAAGGTAGTGGTATGGTATAAAATACTGTTTGAGATAATTATACGTACTAGATAACTTATATAAGATAGTACAAACAGTCTAACCCCCACACTCGATATACCTAGCTAACTCTCTTGGCTATCCGACAAGGAGAAGGCATGGAGACATTATTACTTTTTTGAACTTTGACTGCTTCATCATACCCATTTTGAGCTGCCGGACCTAAATTTGTAATTAGTTTTTACCCAATCTTTTGCAATCGCAAGGAAAATAGAGCGGAAATTGGCCTTCATAAGGCGAAGTTGCCACCCCCGGCAGCTGCTTTGTGGTCGATTGGTAAGTTGCTGCTCTACAAGGCGAACATGCTAGGTTTGATCGTCGGCACTCGATTTTCTTTTGCTCTTTTGGTAATTGAATTCTAAATAGAGCAAAACGTGTACAGATGTCAAGGTGCTCCAAGCTTCGCAAATCAGTTTTTGCGCTTCTTGATTCTAATTTTCACCGAATCTGTCTACTAATGCTCCAATTACTTTTAGCCCATACCTAAAAATTTGGACTTAAACAGAAAAAATAAATTAAAAAAGCAAAAGAAAATCGAATGCTGGGGATCGAACCTAGCATGTGCGCCTTGTAGCGTCGCAAATTACCAGTCGGCCACCGGGCAACTTAACTTCGCTTTATGAAGGTCCTCGAAAATTTCCGCTTTGTCCGAGATTGCATTCTTTTTCCTTAAGATTGCAAAGGATTGGGCAAAAACTAATTACAGATCCAGGTCCGGCAGCCCAAATTGGGTATGATGAAGCAGTCAAAGCTCAAAAAACCCATAACGACTCCATGCCTTCTTCTTGTTAGCATAAAACTCTTCTAACTTGGAACAATATAGTTGAAGAGTTGAAGCCTAAAAGGAAAAGAATAACTTTTAACTTTAAGTTAATAGATTTTTATGAATTTGAATACTCTTATAATCTTACATACAGTAACCAGATTTCTCTTTAGACGCAGCCGCTATGAAATGCGCGCAAAACGAGTTCCTCTGCGTGAAAAGCGATCGTTGCATTCCGTATGAAGAAACGTGTGACGGAGTACGGGAATGTCCGGATGGAGAAGATGAGCAAGTGGACTTTTGTGCGACGAGGACTTGTAGAGATGGGTATTTCTCTTGCGGCGATGGTCTGTGCACAAGTGTCACCAATAAATGCAATGGTCGAAATGATTGTTTAAATCAAATGGATGAAAGGGATTGCGAGTGTAAACCTGGGCAGTTCAAGTGAGTTTGAAATTTTACAGGATTGGATTGGGTGATAGATTGAGTTTCTTCTAGATATTTGGCTTATTATTAGACTCATTTGTTAAACTTGGCTCAGATCTGGTCTGTCAATTTTGAGTTTGGAACAACTCTCAGGCCAGACAGGACTTCTAGGTCTTTTCTGGGCCAGCCTGCAGTAAAGCCAACACTAAGACCATCAAAATGATTGAAACAACCCTGAATATAATAGTAAAACCCTGAATCTCAACTCAAGTATCGACTTTCAGATGTGACACCGGAGAGTGCCGTCCAAAGGAGGCTCGCTGCAATTTCCAGAAGGATTGCATTGA